ATATCGATATTATTTTCGATATAATATATCGTAATGTTCTATCGATACTTTGCGATATATCGAACATATATATCGATATTTTTAAAATATCGTAAGTAATTTCCTACTTACTCTATTAAAATAGTTTCTAATATTAAATAGGGAAGGTTGATATTATTAATATGAGTCACAACATCTAGAACAAATCAACTTTATTTATATATCAAATGAAATCAATGGCCATACGACCCAAAAGTGAAAGATTTATAAATCCCAGTATTTCTTCTCTAAGCTTTGCAAAAACAAAATTTTATTGACCCTTTTGGCTTGCAATCTGCTTCTCTGCTGTGTAAGAACCTGTGCGGCTTTTGAGAAAAGCCGTTCAGATGGAACTGAGCTAGCCACCATGGTTAAATATTTAAAAGCCACATTGTATAACGTTGGGAACTGTATTTTATAGTCTGCCCACACTTCTAATGGGTTTTCGTTAAATCTACTCACTGGAGTCCTCAAATAAAGCGATTACTCATCTGAAAGACTTTCATTGGTATTATTTGTTTTCCAATTTCGTTGTACCAGTTTATGGTGATCACTCCAAAGATCCGATGATAGACTAATTTTGTCTGAGTTGTCAGAGTCAGATTCCACAGTAGATTCATCCTGTTGATTCTTTTTAATCATCTCTTTAATTTTAATGACGGCATTTGCACACGCCATGGCATCTTCAAAATGAAGTTTTTTAAATCTTGGATCTAATATTGTAGCGATAGCTAATGCTGATACCTGCTCGATTGCGCCCATTCGTTTATTAATTTCAGTAAGAGTGCGTTTTTGTACATCCTTGATTAAAGATTCTTCAATGACTAAGTTTTTCAGTTTTGATATCATGCAGTGCACTAATGGAATGATTTTGCTACTAGAGCAATATTTATCGCCAGATATTTCCTTAGTCGCTGCTTCTAGTGGTTGTAGTACGTTAAGAAGCGATGTTAATATAGTCAACTCCATACCAGTTAACATCGGCGGTGCTGTCTTATGACGAATCAAAATTTCACTCACAGCATTTCGTAAATCAAGGAAACGAGCAATCATATAGTATGTGCTGTTCCAACGTGTTGGGACATCCTGAATCAATTTTGTGTCAGCTTGAATTGATTTACGCAACTCGTCACTTGCAACACAACTTTGTTTAAAAAATGTAACAACACTTTTTGCTTTTGTTAATATTTCCTGTAGTTCTGGAATAGCCAAAACATGTTGAGCTACTAAATTAAGTGTATGCGCAAAACAAGGGATATGCTTTTTTTTCCCAAATGCAATTTCGACAGCCTTCACCATATTTGCAGCATTATCTGTTACTACTGCTGTGACCTTATCAGTATTAAATCCCCACTCTTCACATGTTTTAGTGAGTGTTTGTGCAATGTATTCGGAAGTATGCCTTTCATCTAAGTGGTAAACACCTAAAGTTACAACATGAAATTCAATTCCGATGCCAAAATGAGCAGTTACACCTAGATAACTTCGCATTTGTAGATCTGACCAAATGTCACTTGTTAGTGTAAGATTTTCTACACAGCATAATTTATTTTTCATTACTGTTGATAATGCATCATACTTTTCATCTATCCAGCGTGTCACAGAGGTTCTGCTAGGAATCTTATAATGAGGCACTGTTACTTTCAGAAGATTCTTGAAACCTTCATTTTCAACTAATGAAAAAGGTTGATTGTCTCTACAGATCATAAACATTATCGCATTGTTAATTCTTTTTGTTTTGTCCCCAGTAGAGGTATACGCATGTATTTCACCAAAACTACTTTCAATTGATCTCTGGCGTTTCAAAGACAACACCCTATCATAATCCATCTTTTGATCAGTTTGAGTATTGTGCGTAAGTATCTCACTACAATCCATTGAAGACGACGTAGAAGTTGAAGGCGACAGTTGATGTTCGTTTAAGTAAGATTCCGATATCGTAATGGTATCTTGTTTCGAAGTAGTGGAGAATGAATCGGACGAACCCGAATTAGAATGTTTTATAACAGCAGCACTGTTGTTACTTTTGAAAACTTCCAAGTAGACCGCCTTATGAACATTTTTGATATGTGCCATCGTATTAGAGGTATTGCCAGCCGTTTTAACAATTTTTTGGCATAGTTTGCATCTGGCAGATTTCTCATCAATTTTTTCGAAATATTTCCAAACAATACTTTTTTTTGTAGGTACCATGTTAAAAGACTTGCCTGAAAAAGAAAAAAAATGCGTAAGTAAAATCCAAAGTCACAAACATTTATGAAATAAAAACAAATTCATCGAAATATTTTTTATCGATACCATCCCTAATTAACAGACTTAGCGACTAAAACAAAATGCACTAAATACACTATAAGTCTCGGTTAAATTCTCATTTCACGCAAAAATAGGTACATTCACATTCCATTATTTATTGTTCCATGCTATTAAATAGTAAAAATGTATACCTAGTAATTTATAGGTTAAGAACACATACTTACTTTATGAATCGTAAACAGTCGGGTAAGCAAAACACAAAATTCACAGCTTGCTTTTTCAATGCAATATATGATAATAGCTGTTATACTTAATATCACTGCACACACTTTACGGAATTTACTTTTCTTAAACTGTAATAACAAATTAAATAGCGTTTATAAATAGGTTTTCCGTTATATTTGCGCGTTGATAGCACTGAGATGAGAACGAACGAATTGAACGAAACCAATGACTAGACAAACAAGTGACCATAAATAGATTCTATGGTCTATGCTACTACTACTAGTGCTGCCGCGTCGTGGAGAGTCTCTCATGTATGCGTTTCGTTATTGCAAAGGCTAGTTTATCAATAATGTATGAAATAATGTTTTTATTGTTACTTAATTCGTCAGTGTTGCACATTTAAAGGAATAAGCAATTCGAATTAATTCGATTTTTGGTATATCGGATGAAATATATCGATATTCAATTCGATACTAGGCGTTTCGATAATATCGGATGGAAGCGATATTATCGCGTAATGTATCGATATTTTTTTAGTATCGATTTATATCGCCCACTACTACACTCGTCACGACTTAATAAAAGTTCCGTTTCATGAAATCACAACCGCGAAGCTCCCTATTTTTGACATACTTACGTCTTAAATTTATGATAAGAATTAATTTTAGATAATAAATTAAGTTTTCAAATTTATTTGAATGTACTTTTATTTATTTTAAAAACTTTACACATATATGGTTAAAAATATTAAGTACCCAAAAATCCAAAATCTTAACTGTAAGTGCGTGTTTCGGAACACTGTGCTAAAGTGATGACGCTATACGAAAAACATTAGCTATCTCGCTTTCTTCTTACGCAGGGAATAGACAATCATTCGTTCTTTTACATCACTACGCAGGATTAAAACAATATTGTTTTATATTGGTCATGGTACGAATTTTAGTACTATTGTTTTAAGCCTGCAACAAAACGTTCCTGATACATGATAGTTTTTAAAAGTTTGTGGTAGGCCCCCTGGAGTCAGTGGGCTTAAATCGGCCGGGTCCGACGATAAAGGACACAGTGGACGTGAGTTCAGTATGGCCTCTATTTGATAAAAGAGCGTAGACTATTCCTTCATATGTCAGATGTCTGTCAATGTGTGTCAATACTCTTTCGATGTGAAACTTTGCAGACTTCACTCCAGCCTCGAACTGACCCCCAATGTGAGGTGCAAATTGGGGACTATGCATAAAAGTAATACCTTCATCAGAGCCAAATTGCATTACCGAATCATTATTATAACTAACAATTTTACTTAATTCATTCCGAGCTCCTACAAAATTTGAACCATTATCACAATAATTATAACGTTGTTTACCCCTTCGATCTATAAATCTTTTTAAGGTTAATATAAAAGCTGCCGTACTCAAGTCACTGACAGTTTCGAGATGTACAGCCTTGGTTGTAAAACACACAAAAATACACTTAGCTCATGGAATAACTTTTTAGCCTTTTCGATGACATATAGCGCATGTGATGTGAACCTTAACTTATTATCTATAATTATGCCAAGATACTTTAAACTAATTACAAAAACTAGCTGTACATTATTCATGACAATGCTCAGTGAGCTGGCTTTATTAGTAAAATTAATTAAAATAGTCTTTTCGGGGCCAAAGCGTAATTTAACACTCGTGCCCCAGTTGTAAATTTTTTCAAGTGCAGTATTTGTAATTAGCTGTAAATCGGGAAGGGAAAGGGAATGGGAAATGAGTAGAACATCGTCTGCATAGGCCTGGATGTGGCAGCCTTCTGGGAGGTCTATGTCCAGGAGTTCATCCATGATTAGGTTCCACATAGTGGGCCCACACACAGATCCCTGGACACAGCCTCGGGACATAGGTTTACTAATGGAGGTGTCAGAGAAGTCTATACCAACTGTTCGGTTTTCAATATAGCTCAGAAGAATTTTATAAATGTTACTAGGACAGTTGTAATGACGTAAACGGGCAAAAACAGCAGGCCACCACGCGTTATCAAACGCGGCCTTGATGTCCAGGGAGACAGCGATGACATGCTCCCCGTTAGCCTTACTTGACCTGATGAGATCAAGGGCAGTGCTGATTGCTGCAGAAGTGGAGGTCTGCTGTTTAAACCCGAACTGTCTGCTATTATTGAGACTGCATCGGTTCAGATGGTAAGTCAGTCGGTCAATGATTAGTCTCTCTAATAATTTACCAAGAACATTAATGAGGCCAATGGGACGCAAAGAGGATAATTGGGAATAATTGTCTTTACCAGGTTTAGGGATGATTTTAACGACAGCATGTTTCCAGGGTCGGGGAAAGTAATTTAGGGTTAGGCATTTATTATATAAGGAGGTTATGAAATCAGGAAATTTAGTGGCAAACTGGAGGCAAATGTCAGATGTAAAATGGTCAATACCAGGGGCTTTTTTGGGGTTCATGTGTCGGAGTCCGTTGAGGATTTCGGTGTAAGTGAAATTCGGTTCTAAAGGAGTATCTAAGGGTTGGGTCATTAATGTTCTTGTGGTTCTTTGAGCGTCAGTATCGTCAACAGTGTCGTCTGGGAAAAAATTCTTAATTAAAGCGTCAGCGGTGTCAGTAGTGGAGGTTGTATAGGAGCCATCGCCGAGACGGAGGGTGGAGGGGGGTTGAGAAAAGGGCTTTGTTTTTATGATGCGGTTTGTAACAGACCAGACATCTTCTTTGGTTTGCTTAGTGCAAAAATCTTTGAAACTATTAGTTGAGGCGGCGCAAAAGGCCGCAGAGTATTCTTGTCGAGCTCTATCCCTCTCGGCAATGGCGTCCTGGAGGGGGAGTTTACGTCTGACAAACCTACAAAGTCTATGGTGAGCGTGAAGTACTTTTTTCTTCAGTGTCTGCAATTCGTCGTTCCAGAAGGGAGCTCTAGGGGGAGTATAACGGGATCGGGGAAGCAGTTTGTCACATGTCCTTTTAAGAGTACTGTTGAGTTTATCGATAATAACGTCAAGGTCTTGAGGAGAGGCGGAGTCGACGGCTTCAATCGGCGGCAGACTGGCCCTAATTTCGCCCGAAAAGTTGTCAATAATCTGATCCCAGTAAACGTTGGCGGTGTTGTATCGGAATGTGGTGAGTTTCTTGTTGTTTGTGAGAATAATGTTATTGAAAGTGATATTGAAAGTAATAGCAAAATGGTCAGAACTGACAACTAATCCCGGATTAACAGACCAGTTGTTTATGTGAATATGAGAACAATTACTAGTTAATGTAAGGTCAATGATCGATTCGCGTGGGAGTTGATGTGTAACTGTGTGGAATGTGGGTGAGTTGCCTGTGTTATGGATGATGAGATTATTGTTACAAATAAGATCGAAAATAAGGTCTCCGCGGATGTTATTCGCTCTTGAGTCCCATAAAGTGTGCCACCCATTGAAGTCGCCACAAACGAGAAAGGAAGCGTTAGAATAAAATAAAATAAAATGTTCTAAATTAGTGAGAGTATTATAGGGATCGTGGCGAGGTTCAAGATAAACAGAGATAAGAAATAATTTCCTAGCTGACGATCGATCTCTGCATTGAACTATGCAGAGATTAGAGGTGGAGTGAGAGGAGATACCGAGAGTGGAGGCTACGCTCTTACGTATAGCAAGAGCAGCAAGAGTAGGGCGGGAAGTGGGGAATTGATAAAGAGTATAATCACAGTTGTTAATATTTAGACGATCGGAATTACTCGTATAAGGTTCAGTTATGAATACAAATTCGGGAGCATTGTCTTCTAAGGGCGTTTCTACTTCGCCCGAGGTTAATTTGAATAGATTTGTTCCCATTCTCAGTTACGGATTTGTTTCTGTTGTCCTTAGCACAGGTAGTTGTAGCTGCGCCTGGCAATCGTCTCCCAACGGTTTCTTATAGGACAGTTGACGTCAAAGGCACCGTGATCCACGTTCTGAAGGTTTGACTCCACGCAGTTGTGGCACTTTGGGGAGTGTCCTTCAGAGCGTCTCTCGCAATCAGCCCTTAAGTGATTCCCTCCACAATACATATCTCGGATTCCTTGCTCTCGCAGTTCCTCCTTCCATGTCCGAATCCGAGACATCTAGTGCATTGTACTAGGGGGGATTGATCTTCCACGTATACTTTTTGCAGATCTACATGTATTTTCCCAGCTGTCGTAAGAGCGCTCCAGAGCTTGGGGGACACCTGGAGTACGACATGTTCCTCATGCGAGTTCCTTGCCCTCCTCCGATATTTCTCCTTTACTCTGAAGTCCTCCTCCGCTATTGAACTAGTGATGTTCTTGTTCTGCATTTTGAGAGCCAATTTTATGTCCTCTTCCTTATTGTAGCTTAGTAGATTTTTAATTATAATTAACGGATCCTTATTAGTAATTTCCTTCACGTTTAGATGTTACTTTTCTTTTTCCAGTCGACTCCTTAATTTCGGTGTTTCTGCCTTATCTTTGCAACCTACTATTACTTTCCCGTCTTTAACTTTTCTTATTCTTTCTATTTGTATTCCTTCTTCCTTAGCATTAACTGCTGACCTTATTCGTTTAATTACTTCTTCCCCTGTCTCCTTTTCATTTGTTGGACTAACAATAATTGAGTGAACTTCGGCTTCCTTTTCCCTTACATCCGGTGTTTTGATTCCTTTAGGTTTTGCGGCTATATTTGCGTAAGTTAGTTTTTTCTCTATAAATGTTTTTAGTTCTTCCAAGTTATTGTTACCATTCGCATTGTTGCTTTCTTCTTTTAAAATATTTATTTGTTCTTTCAAGATTTCTTGTAACTTGCCAATATTCTTAGTTTCTTCTTTCAAAATATCTACATTCAGTTCTTCTAAACTAGTGAAATTTATATTGATTATCTTTTGGTCTATTTCGTTTTTTATTCATATTGTTAAGTTCCTCAATTATTGTTTTTCCGCTTTCGTTATGTTTTATTTCTTGGTTGTTAGTTTTAATTTCTTTTTTAAGTTTATTTAGTTCTTCAGTTTGCTGTTTGATCAGTTCTTTGTTTTCTTTCAGGTGTTCCAGGATTTTATGGTCAATGGTGATGGATGGAGTGGCAGTTGGAGTTGGTGCAGTCTCCGCGTCTAGTCTGCGAGTCGGTAAGGTTGGTGATGGTAAACATTGCTTATTTCCTACAGCGCCTTCTTTGATATTTTTAAGAATATTGTTGAGCTCATCTGTAGATTCCAGGATTTTTTGTTTCAAGTCACTCCTTAGATTGCGGGATTCGGTAACTGCCCTTCTAATTTTAGTCGCTCTGGCTCTAGTTGTTAGGTTGAGCGTTGTGTAATTTGTCTCTGAATCTTTAGAAGCGCCCGCTTTCTTATTAGCACGCCAAAATACTGGCAGGTTGTCCTTGTTTTGATTTTTTAAAGCCCGAGGATTAAACGATCTGTAAAGCATCAGTGGCTTAATGAGACAATCTCCACATGCATTAGAACATAGCAGCAGTGTAACTCTATCCTTTGCTGCCTTAAATCCAGGAGCGGACTTTTCGCTTTTAGAAATAAATGTATTGTTTGGCATTCTCTTCCAAAACAGTGCAGTTTCGTCTGCATTAAATACTTGCTCAGGTTTGTATCCTCCATCAGCTTATTTATCTTCGGATTTTTTTATTGATCGTACAGTTGATTCGTTGACATTGAATGAGCGTGATATGGATGCAAATGACTCTCCAAGGCGTAAACAATCAAGAATTTCTATTTTCACTTTAAGCGGTAACACAGATTTTTTTCGTGTCGAAACTCGTTTCTCATTTTTTTAGTTGACATTATAAACTAGAAAGAGTGCAGTAGAGACGTGTTACTCGATCACAATTATTGTAACGAATGTGAAAGACGAAACAATAAAACACGCAAAGCGGCTTTTACTATAAACGGAACAACAACATTTAAATGTATACTTTATTTATTGAGCTATAAGGTTGCTTTTATTCTGTTTGTTTACATTCTTAAAAACACTGATCGCGGCGAAGGCGGCTTTTGTCAAAAGCCTCGGCGTCCGGCGATATCATTTAACAACATACTTTAGGCAAAGTTGTAATAAGATCTATTTTACTTTTTTATTAGTCCATTTGACAAGGATATTGGGTTGAATATTTATTGGAATAATTTTATTATTATGTATGTACTTATTAGATCCGCGAATAAAGAATTTTTTTTTTCCGCGGATAGTGAAAACCCGAATAAAGGAAGCGCGAATAAGGAGCTTTTACTGTACTCATTTCTAAAGTCTTACTACTCATTAGTTTACAAAGAATACATTTATGAGGAATACTTCTGGCTAGGTTTCTACCATTTACAATCCAATAGTTCTCACGAACATTCGCTAATAAGGCTATGTTGAGCGCTAATACGCGTTGCGAGAGCTACTCGTCAGTCTAGTTCGGTAGAACGTAGAAAATGGACGTGGAAGAGGCTATTATTTTGTGGTTATATTATAAAGACTTCTGTTCAGCAGATTTTAGAAATGTTAAAACTTCCATGTCAGTAGAATTAAACCAAAGCATAGCTATTGTTCAAATATGTACAATACCAAACACAAACATAACCTAAAATTGTAATATTGATATTACAATTTGAGGTTAGGTATGTTATGTCTTTGGGCGGGGGTTTGCCCATCTTCATGACCTAGCTTTTGACTAGGGAGGTAGGCAAATCCCTATTCCCATACCTGTCCGGTGTTGGGTCTGGCGAATGGCCTCTGTAGGTAGCGCAGGTCGTGATGATCTACAAGGCAAGGCTTGAATATATCCTTCACGTGGTGCCGCCTGTTATTGGTCTGGTTCCATAAGAAACAGATACAACAGAATATTCAAGCCGAGAACTCTAACCCCATCCCTCAATCCATCCTATCCCATCCAATGGTGACGCTGCGACTGAGGCCGTCCTAGCAGCAGATGCAGGGATGAGCCAGGATGCAGAACACCAATATCCCATCATTCCCACAACCACCAACTCTCACCGGCAGCCCCGGAAATATATGAAAAATGGATAATGCAATGCAATACGGTCCACAGGGAGGTCCCGGCTCAGCCGGGGAATCCTCCGTGGTGTCACCAGTGGAGGGACGCGAGAGTCCCACCACTGGTAACACCACCTGCTCCGCGTACTATGTGGGGAGCAACATTGCAACGAGAGAGGAGAAGGTAGCACGTCCTGGTAGGTCCACATCAGTGGCCTTCCGAGATAGTATAGACAAACTAAAGATAAACGAGGAGACCACAGACCTGAGACCAGTGAAAGAATTTGGAGACGGGGAGTGGATCTCCAGAAAAAGGCATAGGCGAAGGAAGGCGAGAGAAAAGAGAGCGGCTTCTGGGCTCTCGGGGCGCACCGAAGGTGTCCCGGCAACAGCAGCTACTGCGGCTGGCACGAGCGACTCGGGGGGCGTTTTGAGGGCGCAGAAGCTGAAAAGGCAAGGGACTGACCCAGATGAGCAGACGCAGCAGCGCCCTATCAAAAGACAAAACTGTCTTCAGTCCCCGGCTGGGCGCCAAGAGGGATCACGGAGACCCGGTATGGGTCAAAGTGAGCTATCTGTGGCGGTGAGGCTAGGGAATGGAGAAGCCATGAATGAGGAGGTTGCTGCGTCGGTTAGACAAAGACTTACGGCCCTCATCGAGAAGGCCGTTCTGGACGGAGTTGACGGTCGGTGCCTGTCTTTTGCAGCCTCGGGGTTGGTAACTGAAGGGTTCTTTTTAGTGACCCCGAACACCGAGGAGGCAATGACATGGCTGTTGGGCTGCGACTTTGGCGACCGGGAGGGCATTCCATTGGGGGTCTTAAGACTAGACAGACGGAGAGTTAGTATCTGGCTTCCGGGAAGCTTAGAGGGTCTAAGATGTGACCCTCTTATGCTGATAAGGGGCCAGAACAACTACAGAGCAGACTTAGAAATAGCGGAATGGACACTCATCTACAAGGAGACTCTGCCGTTAGGAGTACGACTTGTGGTGGGTGTCCCACAAGAATTGGTTACAGAGAACGTGTGGCTGAACTATCAGGCCACGCAGGTCCTGGCCAGGGTAGTGAAAAAAGGAGGAGTCCAGGCAGAAACTGGGAAGCGGGACACTTGCACGTGCGCGTCTTGCCCCGTACATAAATCCGGCAAAGAGACCGATCACCCGATTGCGGGGGACGCCGCCTCGACCAGCGTATCCGCTGGAAGCACGGTGGAGGAGACGATCGCTGCGGAGGGTGGTCGGGATCAGGGCCGCATTAAGAAGAGCGAGAGCAGGATGGACAGCAACCAGCAGGGCACGTCGATGAGCCGGCTGAAAGATGGGTACCCTGCACCACAACCACCACCTCAACAACACACACTAACACACCACACCACGTCACACACCATCCTCACAAACCGAGTAGCGGTTCCCAGATGGCGATAAGTTAAGTCCGTCCTGGTTGAATAGCGTCAAGAGGAAGTGAGGAACATACACTAAACAAAAACACACATCACTCTAAACACACAATCACCGTACACTTGTTATATGGACGCACCCTTAGCAAATCGCAAGTAAGCAGCTGCCCCGTGTACTATTGCAACATCGTTCACACGAGGCAAGAATGCAACGTTGACGGAAAGAGGTAGCGACGAACTCAAAGGAGGCCGGCGCCATCCGACACTGCGTATTAATGGGAATCTTCCACATTTCACAATTACTTCTTTTAAACATTATTACTGTGTCTCGGTCATTCCATATCTAGCATCGATAGGAACTAGACTAGTTTCTTTAGTAGTAAATTTAAATTGTAATTACATAAGTTTTATTTTAATTAAATTACTTTGAATTAATTTTGGTTTTTTTTGGGTCCTCCGGCGGCGACATCCATAATTCACTCAACATCAACACAACAAAAACAATGAACACACAAAAAAAAAACAAAATAAAATAAAAATAGTCCAACTAAATCTGCATCACTGTCGTGAAGCCATGACGGAGTTATGTCGATTCATTGGGAAAGAAAATATAGATATCGCTCTGTTGCAAGAACCATACGTTATAAACAGGCGAGTGGTCGGGATGGGCGCTCTGGGAGGTAATCTAATCTACTATGATGGTGAGTCTAATCCCAGGGCGTGCATCTATGTGAGCAACAGGGTGAGATCGCTAGAACTCATAAAGTCTGACTGTTACAGAGACTTAGCGAGTGTAGAACTAACCATTCAAGTCTGCAACGGAGATAAGGAGAGAATACTTATAGTCTGCGCCTATCTTCCGAGTGAAATAGACTTCGAGCCGCTAATAAGGGAGCTTGAGGTAGTAAAAAGGAAATATCAAGGTAAGAACATTCCGATTATTATAGGATGTGATGCCAATGCCAAAACTCTAAGAGAAGCATTCCACAAAGCTTGCCCGATCAGAAAAATAGTCTGGAAAAGGACAAACATGGTGGACAAAAGCACTGGGGAAATCCAGGAAAAGAACACGCCGAGCTCTTCGGATGGCCCTACAGAATGGAGATGAGGAGAGCTGGATGAAATATAGAGAACAGAGAAATCTTTTCAAAAGTCAATGCAGGAAAGCAAACACGAGCGGATGGAGGGCGTTCTGTGAAGGGATTGAGAAATATCCGGACGCAGCACGAATGGTAAAAACCCTGTCCGCAGTAAAATCGTGTAAGCTTGAAAGCATAAAGAAAGACGGGATGCTAATAATAATATATAATAATGCTTTTTACGAACAAAAGGAAGCTAGAAAATAGAGAACCAGTTCGCATAGATAACTCAGAACTTGAATTAGTAAAAGAAATAAAGTATCTTGGTGTAACACTGGATAGCAAACTCAGTTTCAGCACTCATATCAGAAGCAGTTGCGCAAAGGCAAAGGCCGCAATGTTACAATGCAAAAGTGCTATAGGTCGAACATGGGGGCTGAAGCCAAATGTTGTCGCCTGGATATACAGGGCGATAATATTATCCAGAATTACCCATGGCGCAATAGTGTGGTGGCATAAGGCCTCGCTAAAGTCCAATAAAATAGAACTAGACAAAGTGCAGCGGTTGGCCGCATTGATGATCACCTGTGCAATGAGGACGACTCCAACAGCGGCGCTTGAGATCATCCTTGGACTAATGCCACTAGATCTAGAAATAAAAAGAAAAGCTACGGAAACGTGGTTCAGGTTAAAAAGCGCAGACCTATGGAAAGGAAATATCATGGACACAGGTCATGCTAGCATAGGTAAAGTAAATGACAAGAACATGTCAATGATCCTTGTAAACAATGATCTCATACGCAAGGAAAGGATTTTTGACAAGAGATACAGAATCCGCATTGGGGAAAGGCAGAAGTGTATATACTACACAGTAGTATAGTACATGTAGTATGCTACACAGATGGTTCCAGGAAAGAAACGACAAAGCTCTCTGGGTCAGGCATATACATGAGATGCGAGGACGGAATAGAGATAACAAGATCAATCCCTCTGGGGAAACTTGTTAGCGCATTCCAGGCGGACATATTCGACATCATGGGATGTGCAGAGATTGCCAGGCACTTAAAGCGCTATGCAAAGAAGAGACAACATCCGCTATTGTAAAAGAATGCAAGGAAGCACTGTACAAACTAACTGATCAGGTAGAAGTGGCAATTGCCTGTGTCCCCGGACACCAAGGACATATTGGCAATGAGAGAGCGGACGAACTCGCTCGCGAAGGAGCCGATGAAAGCTTGATTGGGCCGGAACCGAGACTTCCGATAGCCCATAAAATAACCAAGGGAATAATCGAGCGCAGAATCATAGAAGAGACAAACCAAAGATGGAAATCTTCGACTGGTATGAGACAGTCGAAAATGTTCATACATAGCCTATATAAAAAGAAGACCAAAAACCTGATGAGACTAACGAGAGTGAACATCCGACTCATCGTAGAAATCATAACAGGACATTGCCGTCTAAACAGACATCTTACAATGATAGGAACAGGCAGCGACCCCCTATGTCCGGAGTGCAGAGAAAGTGAGGAAACAAGCATCCATCTACTCACTGAATGCTCTGCATACTCGAGGCTAAGACAAATGCATATGGGCTCGGACAAAGTTACATTAAATGACATTAAAGAACTACAGATGAAAAAAAATAATAAGATTCTGCAAGCAAACCGGAAGGTTTGAAGGGGAACGGGAAGAGTTGGATGACCCAAATCTCTGCAAGGAGGAAATGGGTGAAATGGTCAGCGGACAACGTGGACTGATCACCCGTCCTGCTAAGGGTGTCCCCGATAGAAAATAATAATAATAATAATGGAGTGTCTTTGGTAGTCGACGAACAAGAAGAAACTGTTAAGTCAGTAGAATGTCATGATTGTGTGGCTTCTCAAGGAGGCTGCAAACAAGCCATGGCATTCTTAATGTGGGTTCATCGCAGAAGTGAAGATCCATCTTGCACATCCATAGAATGCTATTGGAGGAAATCCAAACTTTCTAGAGTTGGGAGTACCCTTAAATACATAACTGGTACGAAATTATCTAAGGGTAGCCCTAGGTTACCATCTGATACCGAAGTATTCGAAAAGTTTGTAGAAGAAGGGAAGAGAAGAAGGTTAACCGACTGTGAATTAATGAAATACCAAAAGGACTATGTTTTTGATAGACTTCGAAATCTATTAATGGACAATTTAGTGTTGATATATAAAGAAAACTGTTGTAATAAATTTTTGGATAGTGTGATATTTTCTGACTGAAATTGACCGACGTATAAAACTAACTTGGAGAAAATACTGAACTTTAAAGGAAATATTTAAAAGTAAGTTGCCCCCCCTAATCAAAGCAAAAGCAATGGAAGTGACGCTGATGCCTTGTCTTTCCTATGCTTGTCAAACTTGGACCACAACAAAAAGAAACTTACTCAAACTCAGGACTTGTCAACGAGGAATTGAACGCAGCTTTATGGGAGTCAAACTAAAAGATCGAGTAAATCACAGCATAATAAGAAAGGCGACAAAGGCCAAAGACATCAGGATGACTTCGATAAAGCTGAAGTGGGCGTGGACTGGGACCTGCTACGAGTAAAGGACAACAGGTGGTCCTAGGTTATCACAAGTTGGACTCCATTAGGCGTAAAAATGAAAAAAGGTAGACCGTCCAGGAGGTGGCACGACGAATATAAGGAAACTGCAGGCATGTTCTGGGAACGAAGCGCTTCAAACAGAACGGAGTGGAAGCGTATGGAGGAGGCTTTTACCGCAAAATGACCCGACATAAACAACATTTGACAAATACGAATAAATTGTAAACGGAACGTAAAACATGTAAAATATGTTTGGTAATAAAAAGCTTTTTTATTTATTTATTTTATTTAGTCTGAAGACGATTTAATTTTTAAAGATGTCACTGATGGTGATTCACTATGTGCTACAGATGGGGTATGAAATATCACTGTCAGAATCTGCCTGAAATCTTATTTTCTTGGAACATTTTTGTATGGTGGATATGGATAGTTTGGTACTTGTGATTTTAAATGGTGAAGAACTGTGACAGACACTGGCAACACTGTCAGGGTAACAGCTGTTTTTGACTACTAATCTTAAATATTTATAAAATAATATTATTTTCCTGTTTAAATCAATATTTAATGCTTTTTTCAAAGATTGATTTGTTATAATACTGTTCGTAATAAACTTTCTACGTTATAACCGTGTAAATAAAGTAAATTGTGAAAGAAAATTATTAGTGGCAGTTGTCAGTTTAAATTCAAATTTGTGAGTTTTCTTAATCAAATAAATCTAAGTAATTTTGTTCTTTAAAACAAATAAGTGAAACAATTACCACGTAAGTACCTTGCTACAAGTGTTACATACTGTAAATAAATTATATTAAATCTAAAAACAAACTCCATCACGCCTCCACTAAATTGAGTACAATTAAACTTCTTACCACAAGACAGTCTTTTTTTCTGAAACATGCTGCTGACTCGCAGAGGCTTAGCCGTACAAGAGGAGTCCAAATTAAAGCTAGCATTAGAGGAATTGCAGTCTACGAAGGAACTCTGTGCTCAACTTACTTTGGAAAGAGAGGAAAATGAGAAGGAGTTTTTAGAGATACTAGACAGTAAAAAGACACTCAAATCCGAATTATCTTTATTAGTTCAAGAAAATACTCAATAGGCTGGATAACTTTGGCATTGAGTATGAAACTGCTTTGGGGCGCATTAACATTCTTGAAAAGGATTTGTGTGAGGCCAATCAACATATAAACAGTCTTGAAAGTTGCAGACTTGGAAACACAAAACCAATTCAATGAACTAGTTGGTCGCCCACTACATTAAGCAAATATTAACTCAACGAGTAATCCCAGTGTTATGTAGGTAGATATAACATTCTTAATAAAAGTCAGTCACTCTCGGTCTACTAGCGTGTTATTACAACGTCCCACACAGATATAACATTGGCGACGAGGATAATTGTTTACAATGCCTATTGGTAACGTGGAACTATATAATTTAAATAGTTTTTTAGTTTTTTAATTTTATTTTACAATAATTCAACCGGTAAAGAAACTGTCTTTCGATTTATGCTAACCGGCTTTGGTACAGTTAAAAATGTATAGCCGTTGACATAAAAACAAACCAACTAATGCTATCTGGCAACCCTTTTAATGTACTCTGTGTCTTTGCGAATAAATTAGTCGTGTATTCAAAGTCAAAATGAACTGTCGTTTTATTATTAGGTTATGGGCCCAGTATGCCAGTAGTTTAAATTTAAAAGTATAAGTTTGCTTTATTTAGCTTAGGCGCAGTGTATAATACCTGTAAAATAGAAACTGTGAATGCAAGTAGTGAATTAACGGAAATGGCTACAAATTCTTTCTTGAACAGTATTCCCAAATTGAAAGGTCGGTAAAATTATGACGACTGGGCGTTTGCGGTGGAGAATTTGCTCATTCTGGAGGGTGTGGCTGATTGCATAAAGCAAGAGAAACCAGAAGCAGCCACAGCAGCAAGCGCAGCAGAAGATGCCAAGGCCAAAGCCAAGTTAATTCTAACGATAGATCCGGACAAAATGATATCTAATATCAATGTAAACACATTGATATTAGATATCAAATTTTGTCAAAGATGTAGTAAATGATAAAATTATAGATTTAAAATATTTGCCAACAAGTGCTATGCCAGCAGATGTTCTAACTAAAGCACTTAGTCCTATTAAACATTATAAATGTATGGAACTGTTAAATATATATAATGAAGAATTGTTTAAATAACGATATTTGTTTATTTTATGTAGTTGGGGTGTTAAAAATGTATAGCCGTTGACATAAAAACATACCAACTAATGCCATCTGGCAACCTTTTAATGTACTCTGTGTCTATGCTAATAAATCAGTCGTGTGTTCACGGTCAAAATGAACTGTCGTTTAATTAAATGGTTTCATATTAACACTTGACAATCTTTCAAAACCAACAAAGTCACAAGGAACGATTGCGTGAAACCCGATCCGCGCGTCGCAGACGTACAAAACAGCGGGAACATGCAGGTTACGCTAGTTTTTGTCGACGGGCGTTTGAGGCTAGTAACGCTAGAGGGGTCGGGCTCTGGGTGTGGCGCGGTATTTCCCGCGGGGTAAGCGAGTGGAAATTTGAAATTGTGATTGAAGAGGGAAGATTTTAATATGTGAACGAGTGTAAAAAACAATTGTTATCGCATAGTGATGAAGGGACGCAAATACATGACTGACTATTCGTCACATATACATATACGTTCGAGCATATATGCTAAAATTAAATATACATTCAATAAATAATAAATATTTGTGTCCTCTACATGTTTTAGAGCGAGAATGTTAGACATAAAAAAAGGATAAAATAAAACTGAAGTGGGGTTGGTTATTAGTCGTAATTACCCAGTAGAAGGGACATCCAGGCAAGAGAATCAAAGGGCCCTTGACACGCTAGGGAAAACGATCTGAAAAATCTGCTGGCATAGACTGGTGCCGTATAGCCCAAGATCTACATAATTGGGCCTATACCCAAACCGGGTTTAACTAACGTAAAACAAGAAATAAAAAGGCTAAAACAAGTAAAGAACAAAAAATTAATTGGAAATCAGAAAGTGAAGTTTCAACCTTAAGGACTTCTTTAAATTTTTATGATAGAAAGTCTCCTGACGATTTGTACCAAGAAATGCTTGAAAAGCCTCAAGTCGATTATGATACCCCAAAGCAAACACCATCTCCAAATCCTCTCACAACCACGCTCAAAACAATGGAACATTCTCGATCTCAGAACAATAATAAAGCCGAGACAATCGAAAAATGACGTATTGACTGAACTCCTTTTTGACGATAATGAGAATAGTACGATCTGAGACCTGATTTGTAGTTTTTGGTGGACAAATCATGTCTCGCTGCGCTTTTGTATTAACAAGTAAATTCATTGGTCGAAGGCCAGTTTTTAGTCAAGATATTGAAACCCTGCTGATGGAGTATGTATTAACTATGGAGAATAAGTTTAATGGCCTGACCAGAATGGATTTGCGACATATCAACTAGCTATAAAAAAATCCTTCCAAGGGTGGGTTCGCTGGCAGATACAGGCTAAAAGGATTTTAATTTATTTAAAACGTCTTCGGACAGTTTTATCTTTAAGACAGCCAACTGGAACTTCTCAAGACCGAGCTAATGAATTTACCAAAGAAAGAATTGATGAATTTTGCCCAGGAGTGTTTTGGAGGAAGTCAGGATGTCAGATTAGGGAGAACTTGTAGGGGAGAACGGGGCAAGATGAAGTTCGGGGCAGCACGGGAAGTAAGCTTGTGTGCGTGGATTGTTATTGTGTTCTGAGCGGCAACAACGTCATTTGCACGAACTTCACTCTCCGCCAGTGCGTCCATGCAGAGCGGACATGCTGGAACTCGTTTTTGCGTTGCAGAGAGAAAAAAGTGATATTGCAATTTTTTTAACGCGAAATTTGATTCGAAAACTGATGTACAGACATGTAAGTACCTGTGTTAATGTTAAAGAAATAATTTCTATCCCGAGCTTATTATAGGAGTCCAAAACATTAGATTTAAACCAGATTTTTTCGCCGGTTTAGTTTGAGGTTAGAATTGCGTCATCTTTTTTAACTACGTGTGGATCGGGGCATAATGGGATACTATCCCGTTTTGCCCCGCCCTTATGATTAAAATAACATTTTCTATGTAAGTACCTACTGATAATATTTTTAAATTCTACTTAAATCAGGATCAAAAGTATTTACCTATTTATTTATTTGTCTACACATAAAATGGTTCGCAACTATAAACGAAAAACAGATCGTGACAAATGGAACGAAGAAGAGACGAGAAGAGCAGTAAATGCTGTTCTTACTGATAGAATGGGATTTCTTCGAGCCTCGGCTACTTACGATGTTCCGAAGTCGACCTTAGAACGACGAGTAAGAAAAGCTCTTGAAACTTTTAATGCCGACACTGATTCTGATAACGACTGCGGGAAAAAACATTTGGGACGATTTAAAACAGTTTTCATAGTCGAGCAAGAAAATAAGCTGGCGGATGAAGAATGTCTTGTGCATTTCAAAATTGTCAACAAATCTGTTATCAGTGAGTGAGCTCATAAAAAACGGAAACAATTGCTACATTCGTAATATGAAGAATGAATTGGTGGCCACGGCACATTTGACCAATGGTGTTTACAAGTTAAATATAAAAACAACAGATTGTATGTTAGCCGCACCAGCATTGGTAAGTGCAGAATTATGGCACAAGCGCTTGGCACATATCAATTGTAGCGATTTAAATAAAATGAGAAATGGCATCGTAGAAGGAGTGAATTTTTCTTCTCCAAGTGACATAAAGAAGGAGAACTGTGTAACATGTTGCGAAGGCAAACAAACAAGGCTGCCATTTGCTCATAGTGAACATACCAGCTCGGAGACACTTCAAATAGTCCATGCAGATGTTTGTGGACCTATGGAGATTAAGTCTATAAATGGTTCAAAATATTTTTTGATCTTTGTGGATGACTACAGCAAGATGACATTCATTTACTTTCTCAAACACAAAAATGAAGTTTTCCAGAAATTTAAGGAATTCAAACCTATGGTAGAGAACCAACAGAGTAAGAAGATTAAAGTACTGCGTACTGACAATGGGGGTGAATTTTGTAATGGTGTAATGGACAACTATTTGGCAAATGAAGGAATAATTCATCAAAAGACTACTGCATACGCCCCAGAACAGAATGGTGTTTGTGAAAGAGCCAACAGAACTGTAATAGAAAAGGGACGATGTTTGTTGTTTGAAGCAAAACTTGACAAGAAATTTTGGGCAGAAGCTGCGAATACAGCAGTCTACCTGAAAAATAGAACTGTTACATCTAGTTTAGTTAACAAAACACCTTATGAAATGTGGAATCAAAGAAAGCCAGACCTAAGTCACATACGTCTATTTGGAAGTCCAGTTATGGTCCATGTTCCCAAAGAACAAAGATTGAAATGGGATAAGAAAGCAGAACAGTTTATACTTGTTGGATTTTCTGAAAATGTAAAGGGATATCGTGTCTATGACCCGAAGAGAAACGTTGTCACATTACAAAGAGATATAACAGTGATGGAAGGAAAGCAAGGTATAGAAAATACAGAAGAAGCCGCTATATGGATACAAAATGAGGAGACTGAAACAACACAAAACATGATTCTTTCATATAAAAACTTTTTTGATTTGTGTCTATTAAAAATAAAACAGTTGACAACCGAAAGTGCGTGTATTAATACATTTGTGAACGCTATCTATCCGATTAAAAAGCGTACTCGTTTTGCCCCACAGCGTTTCCCATCTTACCCCAGTTATGGGGCAAAACGGGAAATTTGCCGAGTTTATTTTTTAAACCAGCGCCCAAGCCGCACGCACTCCAACACAAAGAGTATATTTGTACACCCAGACTTATTAGGAGCGACGCCGTACGTAAGCCTTGACAGCCACCGTATGACGGACCGTTTAAGGTTATAAGGAGAACAGATAAGTATTACCAGATACAGCTGCCTAACAGACAGGCGCAAGTGTCGCTAGATAGACTGAAGCCAGCCTACGTGATTAGAGAGAGCGACGACGTAGATTATGATCAATTTAGGTTAGGTACAGACTTGACGAGACAGACGGACAAACAAACGTACATACATGAGCCCACGCAGACAGATTCCAAGCCGACATCCGTTGTAATTCCTAGAGCTGAAAAATGCACACGCAGTAGTCGCATTGTTAGGCAACCTGTGCGTTTTATGTAACTTGTTTTTGTTGAAGACGGCCTAGATTTAAAATAATGTCTGTTTTGGGATGTGGAAACCCAAGTTAATAGTAATTTCGTGATATCGATGGTGCTGGTGGCCGGTGTTGTATTATTGTATTTACATGTGGCCTTTCGTCTTTATAAAAGACATATGAGAAAAATATTTAATAAGGATTCGAAAAAGGTAACTCAGAGTCAAAATGTGTAGTATTAATATTGTCTGTATTGAGAAATCGTTATATTGTTAACTTAAAATTAAATTCGATTAATTAGTTATTAACTATTTTCAAAATTTAAACTTAATATGACTTAATGTGAGTAATTCTGTATTAACATATTATGTACATTCTTATAGTTTTAAGCGGCACACGTAAATATGTAAGATTCTTTTGTATTATTGTATTCTTTAAAGTATGGTATTTAAATTCCTTGTGTTTAAACCTTTGTGAAATTAGAACATGATATTATGTACGTAGGTATAAGTCCAAAGTACAAGTGGCTAGAGAATGTCAACCGTCAGCAGACTGAGGTGTTGAGTCGAGTTTGTTTATGTTTCAATTATGAGTAATGTACGATTATTGAACTTTATATTTAGTAGGTATTTAGATATTATTAGAAATATATATATATTTTTTTTTTTAGGGAAGTGTAGGGGCCGTGTCAGCGCGTTTCGGTAACAAGCCACAGGGCGACCGGCGGGTGCGCCAGTCATTCCGATAGTATCTAATTGTTAGGACGTGTGCCGCTTCGTAAAATGTAAATGCTGTTTCGTATAATGTAAATTAATTAATAAATTATTTTATATTAAAGTCGGACTTTTAGTAGTACACGGTTCCCTAAAGGTTATTGTACGGACAAACGCCCGTACAAAAATTACTGTATAATTATATATTTTTTTACCCCCCCCCCCACATTTTTTTCCCCCCCCCTTTTTTTCCCCCCCCCCCTTTTTTTTTTTTTTGGTTTTTTTTTTTGGGGGGGGGGGGAAACCCCCCCCCCCCCCCCCCCTTTTTTTTTTTTTTTTTAAAAAATTTTAAAAAAAAAAATATCCCCCCCCCCCCCCCCCCCCCTTGGGTTGGTTTTTTTCCCCCCCCCCCCCCCCCTTACCCCCCCCCCCCCTTCCCCCCCCCCCCCCCCCTTAAAAAAATTTACCCCCTTTTCTCCCCCCCCCTTCTCCCCCCCCCCCCCCCCCCCCCCCCCCCCCCGGGGGTTCCCCCCCACCCCCCCCCCCCCCCCCCCCCCCCCCCCCCCCCCCCCCCCCCCCCCCCCCCCCCCCCCCCCCCCCCCCCCCCCACCCCCCCGGTCCCCCCCCCGAAAAAAAAAAAAAAACCCCACAAAAACCCCCCGGGAACCCCAGCAGTTCCCTCGCGAAACGTCGCAAGTAACATACAGTGCATCCGCGTCGGGTCGCATTAGCTATCTTTAACTAACTTCTTCGTGTGTGTTGCGGTATCGTCGAACGCCGAAGAGTAAGGGCACACCGCCTATAGCTACAGCCACAAACAAGCAAGATCTTTTCAAATCATTTTTAAGAAACGTCTCAAGATGGAAAAGCTTCTCCCCGTTCCTTCAGGTGCTAGCGCTTCGCTAACCAACGAGGCCGCGAATTATATAAGGCAACAACGCACCAACTTCAGAAGCTTTAAAAAGATTCGTGAGTAATTTAGAAATCGATAACATCTCTGAAGAATGGGAACTGGAGGACGAAATACGCAAGGTCCAAAACCGTTGGAATATAATCGACTCGCTACATTTAAAAATTGATAATATACTTCAAGGATCGGATATATTGTATGAGCAAGAATTTAAACAATATGAAAAAATATACAAGGAATGAACAGGGCTCTCCACCGTCATCTAACATTCAGTACACAATATGCCCCACATCGAAATTCCTGTTGTCACCGAAAAGAGGTATATCGCATTTGAGCCAGTTTCTCAAGAGAGAGATATGCCGCATCAAAGCATTTGCTCTCCACCCAAAATATTCAACATCAACGTACGGGACGTACGTCCGATGTACGGAAGAGAATGTCAAACTATAGCCACTTGTGCTCCAAAGTGTATATTATGTTATCAAGAGCATTATCTACACTACTGCCCAACATTTGAAAAATTATCTCCCCAAGACAGAATGAAGACCGTACTGAACTTGGAAGTTTGTACAAACTGCTTTTACCAACACAACGAACCTAGTACATATCTTGAACGCTGCAAGATTTGTCAACGCGACCAACAGTCATCAAGTCTTTATCACCCTCTTCATCAACCATAACGGAATACTACGCCAGCCATAACAAGAATAATAACTCAGAACTACAATTACCTGAAGAGGAACAGACTTGTGAAGTCTTGTATCAACAAACAACACCGCGCTTACCTGAAGTCGCGATTCCCATAGAAACAAACTTTGAACAAAAACTTGGAAACTCTAAAAACCGCGCAATTTTCAATTTGGAGCGGAAGATGCGAAGAATTTGCAGATAGCTATGTTAACTTAATGAAGAAATATGAGGACTTTGCTCCTGTGGCTGGGATGAGGGATCTCGGAGGCGTTTCGAGAGCGCAGAAGCTGAAAAGGCAGGGAACTGATCCGGACAAGCAAACGCAGCAGCGCCCTTTTAAAAGACAAAACTGTCTCCAGTCCCCGGCTGGGAGCCAGGAGGGAACACGGAGACCTGGCACGGGTCAAAGTGAACTATCTGTGGCGGTGAGGCTCGGGAACGGAGAAGCCATGACTGAGGAGGTTGCTGCGTTGGTAAGACAAAGGCTTACGGCCCTCATTGAGAAGGCTGTCCTGGACGGAGTTGACGGTCGGTGCCTATCCTTTGCGGCCTCGGGGTTGGTTACGGAAGGGTTCTTTTTAGTGACCCCCAATACCGAGGAGGCAATGACATGGCTATTGGGCTGCGACTTTGGCGACCGGGAGGGCATTTCATTGGGGGTCTTAAGACTAGATAGACGCAGGGTGACCATCTGCTCCCCGGAAGCTTAGAGGGTCTTAGATGGCCTCTCCGGGAAAGGGGCCAGAATACTTAGAGGGGTGGACACATCTACAAGGAGACTCTTCCGCTAGGAGTACACTTGTAGTGGGTGTCCCCCAAGAGTTGGTTAAGGGAAGTGTGGCTGAACTACCAAGCCACGAGGTTGCAGGGGTGAGAGGAAAGACAGAAGCGGGAAAGCGGGAAGTATGTACGTGCAAGACGTGCCCGTGCCCAGTACACAAGTCCGGCAATGAGACCGACAACCTAACGGAGGGGGTCGTCGCCTCGACCAGTGCATCCGCCGGAAGCGCGGTGGAGGAGACGATCGCTGTGGAGGGTGGTCGGGATCAGTGCCGCACTGAGGAGAATGAGAGCAGGATGGACATCAACCAGCAAGGCACGTCGAAAGACGGGTCGGCCGACAGATGGGTACCCTGCACCACAACCACCAACATCACCAACCAACACACCACATCACGATACACACCCTCCTCACAAACCGAGTAGCGGTTCCCAGACGGCGGAAAGGTTAAGTCCGTCTTGGCTGTATAGCGGCAAGGGGAAGTGAGGAAACATACACAAACTAAGCAAGAACTCACTACACTCTTAACACTCATTCATCGTACACTCAACATAAACACAATCAATACAATGAACACACAACAAAAACAAAACAAAATAAAAATAGTCCAACTAAATCTGCATCACTGTCGTGAAGCCATGACGGAATTATGTCGATTCATTGGGAAAGAAAATATAGATATCGCTCTGTTGCATGTTAATCTAGTTTAAGTATAGTTTGAAATAACTTTTATGTAGCGGAAGAAACATTTTAAGCCTTACTTTTTATTATCAACATTGATAACGTTACAACGACATTTCAGTCATTAACATCCCTTGTTTGAGTTTTTCTTAATTCTTATTTAAGTTTATTTCCTATTTCTAATAATAGCTCGCTCCCTTTCCCTTTTCTGACGCGGCAGGATGTACGGACAAACGCCCGTACAAAAATTACTGTATATTCATTATAATATTATTCGTAGCAAAGCTAGCATAAATTGTAATCCATGTCAATGTTATGCACACTCAAATGTTTATATTGAGAGCAAATATTACAAGGTTAGCTTAGTAAGCATCCTACTTTCCCACGTTATTGTAAATTATCTTATAACGATATTAATAGGAAATAAATCAGTTGCACTACAGCACTCATTGGGTTTGGTTACTTCGCCTCCCTCTTAACTTTTATCACATGAAAGCTCATTCACGTATACTTTTCCGAACTGTTACACGCAACAGTCTCTGGTACCCAAAACTCGGAAGTATACGCTAAACTGTTATACACTACAGTTATCTCTTTTGTTAAAGATTGTTATTAAAGAGTTTAATTTTCATTGTATAACGAGTTTTGTCTTAGCTATCTCATCTTGCCCCAGTCTCCCCTAATATTGGACATTGATTCCAATGAAGTAAGTACACCGTTTAAGGGCTTTGAAAGTCTTCCTAGGAATTTGGTCTCCAGCTTAAAAGAAATATTGGATAACGACAATGTTTTGGGCGATTTTGTAGCTAGGTCTTTTCTCCGCACCTTAGTTATCATGTTCGGCGGCTACATAAGGAAACAATGTCAATTGAAAACGGTCAACGTATTCAATTTAACGCTGAATTATTTGTGAATACCAGGAAGCCCATGAAGCCATTCCTAAGTAAAAAGCTGGAATCGCAGATATTCCAACAGTTTGTTGATGAGAGGCTGGAACTTCTCAACTCTGGAAGGAGTATTCACGACGAGTTTGAAGAAGAGTGTAATATCTACAGTGATGCTGAGGACATCGCACAAAACCTTGTCGGCGTCACCGAGAAGTTTTAGGCCCCACCCCACCGAACCATCTCAGAACTGGGCCATTCTCCGGTGTCCTTATAGAAGTACCAGATGAAGTGAACGGTCACCCTTGGAGCAGCCACATCACCCCTCACAGCTCTTATAGCCTGTCCAATGCTAATGTTTCGCTCACACCAATATTACCGCCCCGTAGACGGGCCCGTTCCCCGACTGAACGCATGGACGTTACCCCATTGCAAGGACGATGTGGTTGATCGACTCATCTGACGCGCCGATGCCTTCACCTCGCTCGGGCCTATCTCGCCCTGCAGGCGGTATCGCCTTGAAGCCATTCCTGAGTAAAATGCTGGAATCGCAGATATCCCATCAGTTTGTTGATTAGATGCTGCAACATCTCAACTTTGTAAGGGGTATTACGACGAGTTTGAAGAAAAGTGTAATATTTACAGTGCTGCTAAAACCTTAAAACCCAGTACAGAAATTGGATTAAGAACATGAAGAAGGAGGGAGGCCATTTTTAAAAACGTAAAAACGATACGCCAAGGCGGAAAGAATGTTCGTTCAGCTGTAAGGCTTAAACAAGGGAAAGACAAGGATGACCACATCTAATCCAGGTACAAACGGAAGCAGTTCAACCTTGTCGGCGTCAAAGAGAAGTTTTGCTAATGTTCTGTGTTTGAAACTGCCCGCAACTTCGGGGCATTGGATTGGGTCGCCCCGTTCCACCTATGGGTTTGGCCCGAAGATTCTGATCGGGACGCGGTAGCTCAGGTTCACGGCCTCGTCGCGGAATGGAATTGTATCATACGATATGACGTCTCCGAGCCTATATCACGGCGCTCCAGCATTCCCGGACACACTCGCTCCCGGGAAGCCACAGCGGACGGACCTAAACTGAGAAAACCCTACTTAGAAGCGAGAAGCCATACCGGACGGACTTAAGTTAAGTGAGCCCTAGCTTGTCTTTAGCTTATGTGTCTATTGTTATTTTTTAAATTAAGTGTATATTTGTTTAACGCTCATTATATATAAATTAAAGCAATATTGTTTCAACCAAATTCATGTCTTCTTATTTATGTATCAGTTTACAATTTTCAATTAAGAGTCCCCTCAAACGCAACGATGCCTTGTCCTTGCTATGCTTGTCAAACTTGGACCACAATAAAAAGAAACTTACTCAAACTCAGGACTTGTCAACGAGGAATTGAACGCAGTTTTATGGGAGTCAAGCTAAAAGATAGAGTAAATCACAGCATAATAAGAAAGGCGACAAAGGCCAAAGACATCGGGATGACTTCGATAAAGCTGAAGTAGGCGTGGACTGGGACCTGCTACGAGTAAAGGACAACAGGTGGTCCCAGGTTATCACAAGTTGGTCTCCATTAGGCGTAAAAAGGAAACAAGGTAGACCGTCCAGGAGGTGGCACGACGAATATAAGGAAACTGCAGCCATGTTCTGGGAACGAAGCGCTTCAAACAGAACGGAGTGGAAGCGTATGGAGGAGTTTTTGCCGTAAAATGCGGACCCGACATAAACAACATTTAACAAATATGAATAAATTGTAAACGGAACGTAAAACATGTAAAATATGTTTGGTAATAAAAAGATTTTTTTATTTTATTATATTATGTATATAATAAATAGTCACGTATCTTGTTTCGTTTTGTCTTCGGCACCAAGCTCATTCCAACTAGGAACAACCGCCTCACAAACTTCTTCCCACAACTTTTTCTTCACGTTTACATTAGAATATTCTTTTAAGTTTTTTTATGAAGTGCGGGTCTTTTTTCTACTTCTTCGAATAAATTTACGATTGAAGTTTCTACAGCCAGCGATTGAGTAGAATTGGACAGTGCCATAATGAAAAGAATGCACGACCTTCCGGCTCCAAAACTCGGAGCGAAGTGAACCATCGGCCGACTAAATCGGTCGGTGTGCGCGCTTGCAAGGAGCTCCATACTGATATAGCAGTCGGCCGATAGTTCAGTTTGAACGCAGTTGAGTAGCCCATCAGACTTATTTATCGGCCGATAGAAAGTCTATGGTTTGCGGGGGCTCTATAAATTATATTTTTAATATTAAAGTTTTAATTTATCTTTTAAAGGCATCGGCACGTCAGATGCGTCAGATAATGCATGGGGATCGGGGAACGGGCCCGTCTACGGGGCGTTAATATTGGTGTGAGCGAAACATTAGCATTGGACAGGCTATAAGAGCTGTGAGAGGTGCTGTGGCTGCTCCGAGGGTGACGGTTAACTTCATCTGGTACATCTTTAAGGACACCGGAGAAGCGCCCAGTTCTGAGATGGTTCGGTGGGGTGGGGCCTAAAACTTCTCGGTGACGCCGACAAGGTTTTGTGCGATGTCCTCAGCATCACTGTAGATATTGCACTCTTCTTCAAACTCGTCGTGAATACTCCTTCCAGGGTTGAGAAGTTCCAGCCTCTCATCAACAATCTGTTGGAATATCTGCGATTTCAGCTTTTTACTTAAGAATGGCCTCATGGGCTTCCTGGTATTTACAAATAGTTCAGCGTTAAATTGAATACGTTGACCGTTTTCAATTGACATTGTTTCCTTATGTAGCCGCCGAACATGATAACTAAGGTGCGGAGAAGAGACCTAGCTACAACATCGCCCAAAACGTTGTCGTTATCCAATATTTCTTTTAAGCTGGAGACCAAATTCCTAGGAAGACTTTCAAGGCCCTTAAACGGTGTCCTTAGTTCATTGGAATCGATGTCCAATATTACAAGTTCTCCCAAATCTGACATCCTGACTTCCTCCAAAAGACTCCTGGGCACTCTGATGAGAAATGGCATGGGCGCTAATAAATAATCAACCAAGTGTTTGGTCCGATAAAGTTTTGAAAAGTATTATAGACCAGAGTTGCCCAAGCAGGTGTTAAGAGAGTTGGTCAAATCAGCTCAACTGAACGTGGAGCGCTTGTTACTTTGCTGGGTTTTGCAAATGCTGCTGGTGGAAGTATTCCTCCTGTTTTTATATTCCCACATGTTCATTTTAAGGAACACATGCTAGAAAATGGTCCTACAGGTGCTTTAGGCCTCGCTAATGTTTCTGGTTGGATAACTGAAGATTGTTTTTTTTAAAGATTTGAAACATTTTGTGCACTTTGTTAAGCCTAGTGCTGATTCGCCAGCCTAATTGTCCTCGACAACCATAAGACGCATATAACCATTAATGTAGTGCTGTATGCCCGAGCAAATAACATAATAATACTAACCTTTCCACCCCACAGTAGTCACCGACTGCAACCTCTGGATGTGACAGTATTCGGGCCCTTCAAAGCTCGGTATAGAGCCAGTATGAATGACTGGATGACTTCAAACCCTGGCAAAACTGTCACAATTTATAATGTGGCTCAATTTGCTAAAGATGCTTTCTTTGCTGCTTTTAATATGAATAATATATCCTCTGGTTTTAAGAACACCGGGATATGGCCAATTAATAACAATATTTTCTCAGATGAAGATTTTTTTGTCTGCTTTCGTGACTGACAGACCACAGAACCTCAAGACCCCCCACTGATTTATCTGAAGACTCTGACAAATCTTCCTCAAATGAAGAAGAACTGCCTCAAAGATCTTTTAACGTCATTACCCCCTGAACTTGATTCAAATAAACGAATCGTTTCACCGTCCATTTTAAGTCAAACACAAGCTGGGCCCTCTACTTTTAATGATTCGCAACCTGAAACATCGATTATAAACGAGATACGACCTGGATCTTTTACTTTGAATGATCCACAACCTGGAACATCAACCATAAAAGATACACGACATGGATCTTCCAACTCTGCTTACATTCTAATAACTCCAGAAGTCGTTCGACCATTCCCTAAAGCTTTACCACGAAAACCTACTGGGAAGCAACGTAAAGCTAAAACTACGATTATAACGGAAACCCCTGAAAAAGAAAGACTGCTTTTAGAAAATATGATGGATATCTTAAAAAAGAAAGCACCCAAAACTGAGAAACAAAACTTAAAACATGTGAAACAAATTTTTAAAAGTAATTTTGCAGATCAAGAATCTATCAAATCGAAACGTAACGAGAAGGCTAAAAAGAAAATGAATATTACGAAAAATGTTACAATTAGTCAAAAGAAGAAAAAGGCTGCACGAAAAATTGCAAACAGTAGCAATAACAGCGATGCTTCGTCAAATATAGTTACGGATTCTGACTCAATAAATGATATATCAGAAAATGAAAAAGACACTCCAAGGTTAAGAAAACGTACAATTACAAAAAATAAAACAGGAGACGATGACCAATGTAATGTTTGTAAGAAAACATATTTAGAAAGCACTGAAGATTGGTATCAATGTAAACTTTGCACAAAATGGGCACACGAAACCTGTGGCATTAAAGGTACTTTTAATTATTTTTGCTCACTATGTCACTAAAAACTGCAATGATTAGTATCTAAGTTTAGTTTAACTTTACAGACTGTAATTTAAGGTTTATAGAGACTGTTGATTATAATTCTAATAAAAAGCAAATTATTATTTTTCAAAGCTGTTAAGAGAATGAAAGAAAAGAGATGATTACAATTTTTAATTCTCTATAAGTGTTTAATTTCTTGTTAATTATAAGAAAACTGAGATATATATAGATTAAAATGGTAAGATAAAATAATGACAACTTTCAATACAGTCCATTTATGAAAGGGACAAAATACACATTTTTTTAAATATACGTAAATAAAGAATTAACAAATTATTTATGACAATTATTGCATTTCATTTCAATAGTTTGTTAATAAACGCTTCCTATTAGTCTCTAATCTGTTCCAAATATTGCATCAATTACTTACTATGACCTCAAATTTAAAAAATGTCCCTTTCATGCCACCCCTCCCGTACCGTGCTACCTACGGGCAGCGGTATGTTTTTGTCAATAAATCGGTGTTAATCCAACTGGCGTTGTTATTACTACAGTAATAACCTATAGCAAGCAACATATTCGTTATTTGATAATTTTAATTAACAATTCAGGTTTAATTTGTGACAACTTAGGAGTCGCAGAACTAACCACGCAAGTGTATTGACATGTAGACATTTTGAAAACTTTTTATAATGAATAATGTATTTTGTTTCCCCATTAGATATTTGTTTTGTCATCATTTCCGATTACTTAACAATCTAATTAATTTCAGGAATGCAAAACAACACTCTTCTGTCTTTGGAGTACTCTATCCAATACGGGTAGAGAAGCCGTGTATGTAGTACTTTTTAAGTGATTACGAAAGTCTGGCGCAGTTTTTATTTAACATGGTCTAGTCGAAGACAAGTTTTAATTACAATATAAAATGGTTTATCGCGACATCGTTTACAACGACAAGACTGTACAGTAACAGTAACAGGCAGATTGTAAGGTCCCGCCCAGAATACAACATCTGTGTGTGTTGTAGTGCTATTAGACCTGGATTCCTGCACAGGAATGATTTTTACGTATGGCCGTGGGAAGATACGCACTTCCTACGAGCACAAAGTTGTAGTATATGCTATGTGGATGTGAATTCGCATGAGATTATGCATATCCCCGTATGGTCATGACCCACAACGACATTCGCTTCCTGTTGAATGCCAAATATTTCTGGTGCGTGTGTGGGCATATGGCGTTCAACCACACTATCCTTTAGATGGCAGTAATCAAAGAGGGTAGAAAAATAAAAACTGTTGCATTTTCCATATGACATTATCCGGATTCGTAAAAAAAGTAAGATATAGAGAAGAAAATATCACAACTTGCTATAAAAAAACAAGAGCCGCATTTACAGACGAACAGGTAGATAACTTGGCAGAATATACATCTAAGGTCCATTTGAACTGCCCAAAAACTTAACGGGAGGAAGTTATTTAAGCTTCTTGCAACACGACCTGCCAAATTTAACGCATAAGGTGGCCGAAGAAGTCAGGGAATTCCATTATAAATGTTAGAGCGTATTTAAATGCCACATATCCCAACAAATGGATTGGTCAGCTGGGCCCTGTTTGGTGGCCTCTACGTTCTCCTCCTATTCAAAAACCCACTAGATTTTTTTTACTGGGGCTCTATAAAAGAAGTTTATTCCAAGCCGCTTACAAGTTTGGACGAATTAGGCAACCGCATGAAGCCGCTCAAAAAAATTCGCAACGACGCCATGCACGATTTCCTAGATCATATTTTATTACATGTCGTTCTTGTAAGGGGTGTCTGGCGGCAGATTTATATTTTAAAAACCGAATATCTCAATAAGTTATAAACAGTGCGGGGGAAAGGTGGTGTCATTAGAATCACCGATTGTGCGGATTTTTGGGTGAGCATCGCGCGTTTGCTATTGAAGCATTTTTCAAGAGTAACGATTTTTACGTACTCACTCGCCGACAGTTTTGTTCACATTTCAATATTCGACGAATAGACGATGGGCCGAGTGTGAATTTAATTCGTGCGTAGGTGGAGAGGTTCCGCTTAACTGCTTCGGCTATGAACACACCAAGGCCAGGCCGATCGTCAAGGACCCCCGAAAACTTTGAACTGGTTGAACGCAGTTTAAGTGAAAATGCACGACTTTCGATACGGAAAAGGGCAGCTTCACTGGGACTTGCAAGAGCAATTGTGCACGAAATTTTGAAAAAAGATATGACGTTTCATCCTTTTAAAATTCAAATAATTCAAGAATTGAAAAAAAAATGACCGCGTCACGCAAATTTTTTTGTGAAACCATTTTGGAGCGTTTTTAGACAGAGGATTCCATTTCTTGGAGCGACGAGGCTCATTTTCATTTAAACGGACACGTATACAAGCAAAATTGCCGTTACTAGGCTCTAAGAACTCGCAATACTCGACTGAAGCACCAAAAACCATTACATTGCCCAAGGGTAGGTACTGTAAATGAGCAGAACTTATAAACATCTATAACATTCAATGTAGAATAAGCCGAAAATCGGATGGTAAAGAATTTAATATATCCTATATTATATTATCCATATTATTATTAGATAGATATAGATGAAGAAAATGTAAATGCAGCTGGATTTATAGATAATACAAAATCTGACTCCCAACTTATGAGTGACAAATAAATTACTAATAATAATCTAATGTCGATGCAAACCCAAAATTAACAAGAAAACAAAGAACAAAATCAAGAAATACAACTTGTTTAGATTCTTTAGACATGTTATATTTACTTTAGAACGAGCTGGTACCAAAAAAAGGCCTTTGTCGGAAAACCTAATAAATTTATATTTGGTGAAAATAAAGTTAATTTTATTTTAGGAAAAATAAGACAAAGTCAATCGAAAACAGGTACTAATTAAAGATGGTAAGTCAGCTATAGATGACAAAAACATTGTAAATTGACAATGATGAATATATTACAACAGCGGATGACCCAAAAACAGAATTGACATAAAATATTTATTATAAATTATAAAGTAACATGTGATATGGAATAAATTATTTGATATCAAAGACTGATATTAAATGGAAATATCATATAGGATTTATTCTGTAAGGAAATCTATAAAAATAAAAAGAACAGAGCGAATTTCCTGACTATTCCATTGTCAAATCAGTAAACATAGTAAGAGATCTTGAACACAACAATCTATGTATTAGCCAACGTACACAATGAGGTCATTTTTGTATCTATGTAACAATCGATAAAGCTTACACACAGATGCCTAGCGGTATGACCAACTGAAAAACCTGACAGTATAACAGACGACAACATCAGGAAATTAACGATGGAACAATTATTAAGATTTTACAAGACCCATGTGTTGTCTGTGTACGGAATGCGACATACATTCAGGGCATTTATTAGTAAATGTATGTGTAAAAACTATCTTAGTCTTTCCATTTTTGGGGGAGGCTAGGAAGCTACTTAACTTATATTATACGGCTATTATGTTGATAGTTTTAGTCTAGTGTTAAAATTTCCATGCTTATAGATATTTTGTAAATTTCACTCTTATTCAGCAAAATAATCTACTAAGGTTAAAGCCCATTGAATGACGACATTTTACAAAGTGACCCAAATGTTTGAAGAGACACAGTAATTCAGAAAACCCAACAACCTCCACATAAGAGGAACGGAGAAATGCATAAAATGGTCTGCAAATGGAATAGACTCACCACCCAGCCTTCTATCAGTATCCTCAATAGAAATTCATAACAAATAAATGAAATTTATTTTGAGGTAGGAGCAAAATAACATTTTTTTTATTATGTTATTTCATTTTGTAACCAATTAAATAGAAGCATATCTTAATTGTTTCCATGGTCTAATCAAAAAAACTAGATACACCATTTGATACCATGATTGATAGAAATACATAATTAATAACAGATTAAATTATTAATTGTCGTGATCTGATACCATGAAATGGAAAAACCAACCAATGGGAGAAAGTTCTACCTCAGGCATTTACATTCAATTCGATCACTTCTTTGCACAGCAACCAACTGCACACCACACAAACACATGTTTAATCATTCTCAAAGGTCTTCAAACGGTGATTCCATACCAACATGGTTGAATTTTGTTTATTAACACCTTCCAAAGGCTAAATAAACATAAAGTGTTAGGTGGTCTTTCATCAAATAAATAAGTCTGATACTTACAGAGTAGTAACTCTAAGTCTTTCTAACTCATCAAGACCATGTGACAATCTAACAAAACTTAGAAATAAAAATCTTTGGTACCCACTTTTTTTTAACTGGTTAGTTAGTATCGATCATACGTAGTTATCTACGCGAATAAATGATTTACGCCTTGAATTAGTAAATAAAAAAATGGTAAAAACAAGTTCACAAAGTTTTTTACGGATTCGTAAGTTTGGAGAAACTTGTGTTTAATTAAGTGTCACTTCTTTTAAACTTATATCGTTCATTATTAAGATTGACTGTTAAGTTAGACTGAAAATAATTACTTACATTTTGATTACTTTCTTTAAGACGTAAGTAATAATTGTTTCTAGTTTTATAGTACCTACTTTAAGTTTGCAATTTTAGAAATAAAAGCCGGCCGTAGACCGTAGACGTGCTCGGTAGTGATGTGCCGAGTACGGCTGCTCAATACCGATTTATTTTGATTCGAGTACGCCGGCCTCGATACCGGTACTGGAGTCAGGGAGAATCGACTAGCAATTGCTTACTCGATTGTCTCATCTACTTTTTTTCCGTTTGCTAATGTAAATTTTAATGTTTACTACCTTTATTTTAATTGCGTCTTTCTAGTGCTAAGATCTGTAGGATTATTTAAAGCCCCATATTTTCATTTTCAATTTTCAAATGACTATAAAATAATAATAATCATTATGTTTTGTTGTTTATCTCTATTAAACAGTCTATGTGTTTTTAATGATTTTAATTATTATCTCTCATTAAAAAGTAGTTAAAATAAAACTTTACGAACTTCAAAATACAAACAAAATAACTGAGAAGCGATAAATAATAATTTAAATACATACATATTTAAAATCGTGAAGCGTGTGTTCCTTCATAATCCAACATGAGCAATATTTCTTTTGAGGACGATGCCAACCCCATTATTAGGAACAAACATTAAATTCGAGTAATCGAGTTATGATTCGAGTTTTAATAACGTATAAACCGACTCGAGTGGACTCGATCCACCAAAACGGCGAGTCGGCGCATCACTACCATAGACTAATATAGACCAGAGTTATAGACAAGGAAACGTTAACGTACAACACAGAGTATAATATATTGATTACACAGTATGCATAAACCATAATCTAGTGTTGCTAGTTTAGAATTTTTAAATCCCTTATAAGAGAACTTGGTAGGTACAAAAAAGGAGCCAATAACACAAAGGTATTATAACTTTAGAGGGCGGGAAAATTCAAAACGAACCTAAGTTTTCATAGAATGGAATTGAAGAAAATTCTTATATTGTAAAATCATGTATTGTATTGTGTACTGAGTAATGAAAAATTCCATGAAACCATAATTTCATTTTTATGACTTTGTTGTGTTCTAAGATTGAAATGAAACAGTAGGTAACCAAAAACTATGATTTCCTTTTTAACATTTTGTGACATTTTACCCATCATATAAAAATAATGTGGTTCAGGAGTATCAAGAGCAAAGCCTTGTTTTTTGTAAATTTGGTCAACAATGTTGGGCCCAAGTACCAACTCTGGATATAAGGGTAAATGGACATTTTAAAATCAATATAATTTTGGTAAATGTCAGAACACAGGTCTGTTATGGTTCCCTTTGATTGTGAACATTATTGTTATTAGACTAGGTATAATACCGCTTTTTTTTAAGTTAGTGCGTAAGTCTATATAGTCCTCTTTTATATGTTCTTCTCTTGTGCTTAAATAAAATAACTATACATATATAAGCAACTTATATGATAACTTGATAAAACAAGCAACAACATACAATCCTAAGTGATATTATTTGGTTGATATCATGTATTTTTATTAGAAATATATTATGCAAATACTGTCTATAGTTTACGCGAGTAGTACACATTTAAATAAAACACTTTAACGGTTTAAAACGCGATAACTAATATATCGCGTTTTAAACCGTTAAAGTGTTTTATTTAAAAATATATTATGCAAGCAAACGTACCTAGAATAGTAAAAAAAATTGTAGTACCTACAATATAAGTAAAATGGTATTTACTTCTATAGTTTACCTCACAAGGTATGTCTTATTATTGACAAGTAATTTGAATGCTGATTATCTGAAGAAGCAAAACCCTTTGTAATGGAATTTCTTCTTATATAGACAAAGACAAAACTAATATAATTAATGTTGTAAGTTGTTCTACAGAATAATCTACCTATATCTGTTTTTAGAGACCCCAAGAAACCTGGTTAGCCTGGGGAAATACATCCATCGCTCATATTTAAGAAGTTGCTAAAGTGTAGTGGCCTATCTATGGCATATTCGTGACATAATATAAGAGCTGAGAATTAATTTAAAAAAAAATCGATTTTGAAAATTAATTCTATTTTGAAGATCCGAAGTCAAGATAAGAAGTAAAAACTATTTAGAATAGGGAGGCCTTATGCGTCGTGATGCAAACGTACTTTGGATTACTTGATTTCTCTATCTATGTCACAAATATATTTTCAATAAATACAATTGTGATAATAATGCTAAATCAATGTTAGGTGCGAAAATAAAACTATTATTTGTATAATGTATTAATTTTTTGTTATCAAAAAATGTATAATAACAAAAGAAACATGTTCGCCCCGTACCCCACTGGGGCAATGGAAATTTCATAATCGCTTTTTTATGGTACTAATAACGTATTTATGTTAGGGGTTGTCCATTAATCACGTGATCTTTTTTTTGAATTTTTAAACCCTCTTCTTAAACCTCACTCACAGTGAGGTTTAAGACCCCAAAAAAACCCCCCCCCCCCCCACCCCCCCCCCCCCAACCCACCCCCACACACAGCATGTACGCGTACAATAATTATTTTGGGTATCAATTTTTGTTTTTGCAACCTCTGTTCAACTCTATAAATTTAAGCTATTACCAGGAGTGGTTTCGGTTCCGGCGTTCTTGCAAGTTAATCTTGTAAAAAAAAAAGGGCGGAAATTTTTTAGTCATTTAAGGAATTCCTCGAGACTTTTTTAGATAATTAAAAGGGGAATCATTCTGTGATGTGAAACCCATAATGATGAATAAATTTCCCATTATTTTCACCTTTAATGCTGTATCTTCACTTGTACTAGTCACATGGCGATGTTTAGCTTATAGCCTTCCCCGATACATTCTCTAACCCACGTAAAAAAAAATCAATTCGAACCAGTAGTTCCTGAGATTAGCACGTTCAAACATACACCGAATATTGTCTGCTAAAAATATCATTTCCTCAACAATATCTAATTATACATATATAGCAGTACTTTAATTTGAAAATTAAGTTCAAATTGACCGCGACTTATCAAACATGACCTCACGCGACGGTATCTTGTTTTGCAATAAATATGTAGGCATAAAACCAGTTTTCCTCAAAGATTAACTGTATCATGCTCATTCTAAACAATAAGAATTCTGCTCTTGGACGAGTCTCAGAATTAAGGCCTGATGGACGAAGCTTGCAGGTCGTTCCAAGATAATTTCGTGTTATTAAAATGAAAATTATTCAGTGAGTAAATTTTAATATTATTTGCTTTTCCAAAAGAGGTTAGGTTTTACATTAATAAACTAAGTAATTATGTCGTCTGTAGCTTACGCGAGCGGTTTGCAAAGAATCCGTAACGTCGGGCTGTAGTGCAAATAAATTAAAAATAAGTAATATGTTTTGCGTTTTAAACCGTTTAAAGTGTTTTATTCGGATTAAAAATGTTTGTTACGTGAACTTCCGATTCCTCAAATAAGGAAGCTTATTTACTATATATTCTCACATATTTTATATAATCAAAAAAGTAATATATTTCGCGTTTTAAACCGTTCGAAGTTTTCTATTCGAAATAAACTGTGTGTTTGTTTATGTGAACTATTGATTCCTCAAATAAGGAAGCATATATATACTAACATATTACGATAAATCCAGCTTATTTATTGACAGATAATATATACAAAGTAATACAGACCTTTATATTATTAAAATCGAAGTGTGGTGTTATTTGTTATTTTTAATTAATATTTTCTTCTATGTATTTAGTTGTTTTTTTCTAATTTTTTATTATAATAATAAATAAATTCAAATAAGTTTATATTCCTCGTTTAAAACCGTTAAAACTGTTTCGTGGAGTTTTACATGTCTTTTATTTTATTTTCAGGTTACTCCTTCCGCTGTGCTTGGTAGTTTTAGAATGTCGCGCGCAGAGTTCCAACTCAGGCGACGCGTGGCTCTTGCAGAATCTTAACAAGAAAAAAGGACCTAACTTGTCACAAACTGGTAAATATAGATATTGTGTGTATATGTCTTACTGTACCAACACCTCCTCCCCCTCCCCGCGAAGTCAATGAACCCGCGAGGTTTTTTTAGTTTAAATTTTACTTTTGCAAGCAACCTCCTCAGCTCTGTAAATTAACACCCACGGCATCTTTGGCATCTAGTCGTTAATCTTAAAATATATATATACTGTCGCGGACATTTTTTATATCATTTACAGAAGAAGTATACTATCATATATAAAATACGGTCTCCCCGTGACCACGGCTGCTGCAAAGCATCCGAAACGTCGGGCCGAAGTTAAAAATCATTTCCAAATAAGTTTAACTAATATATCGCGTTTTATACCGTTAAAGTGTTTTATTTAAATCTTTCATATATATCTTTTCGTTTCTTTAACCGTTTTTGCAGCGCACCCATCGAAAGCCCGTAGAGATAAGAAATTCTCTTCTCTTTCCTTTTTTTGCACATTACAATTCGAACCAGTTGTTCCTGAGATAAGCGCGTTTAAACAAACAAACTTTTCAGCTTTATATATTAATAGCTGTGTTAGCTTCGTCCGCGAGAATGTATGAAGGGATGATTTGTCTTATATTGTCTATCAATTAAGGTTATATTGCAAGAACGACGGGACACGACCGACTTCGTGGGCAACACCTAAAATGGTATAAATATGAAGAGAGGGTTTGCAAGAACAAATTTTGATGACCGAAATCACTATGCCACGCGGACGAAGTAGCTGACACAACTACTAATCTATACTAATGTATAAAGCTGAAGAGTTTGTTTGTTTAAACGCGCTAATCTCCGGAACTACGGGTTCGAATTGAAGAATTATTTTTGCATGTATCGAGGTTATAAAATGCTCTGCGACTAATACAACCGAAAATACAGCGAGAAATGTGAAAATTATTGGGAAAAATTATTCATAATTATGAATTTCCGAGGCGTTTTTGCAGCGTAGCAAAAACGGTTCAAGATACCCAAAAAATATGTATAGAAGAATGATTCCTCTTTAAATGATCAAAAAGAAAGTCCGCGATGCTATATGTCTATCATTTAAAATTAACTTGCAAGAATGACGGGAAAGGATCCGACAGACGTCGTAGGTAACGGCTTAAGCTTATAAAAATGAAGGGGTTTTCAGAAACGAATTTGGATGCCCAAAATAACGATTCTCGCGGACGAAGTCGCTGACGCAGCTAGTATGTTATATATACAAAATATATTTCTATGTCTGTTAATCATTACACAGGCGTGAAGTTTAGCAAACTCCGCGCTACACGTCTGAAACATTTTTTTTTCAACGCGTTCTCAAACCAGAACTTCTCGCGTTCAACCGAATACAACAGGTTTAAACATTCAGCGATAGAGCGGTTTATATTCGTCATAATTATAAAACTTCCTTATCTGACATGATAACCAGTCGCTGTATGCGGTTTTCCCGATACGTATCTCTCCTGTTAACTGGAAAAAACGTATTGTGCTAACGAGATAATGTTATACTATTTAGGGCAATTGTAAATAAAACACTTTTAACGGTTTAAAATGTTAGTGTTAGTTAACTTATTTTCAATTTGTTTTTACTACGGTTTTATATAAAAACACACGATCCCAAAAACCACCATTCTAAATGAGAGGGTACCGAGACTCAGTTCTATAATACCAAATATCAACCATAAAGAAACAGATGGCGTAGCAGTTTTTACTTTGACATTCGTGGGTGTCGCTAATGTCAAGATTTAAGAATCTCTCTGTGACCATGGCTGTTGTAAAGCATCTGACACTATATATATTTAAATAACGGTTTAAAACACGATATGTATTAAACGGGAAGATCCGTGACAATGGCTGCAGCAAAGCATCCGAAACGCCGCCGGTGCTAAAATTTTTTTAATACATTTAAGTAATATATATCGTGTTTTAAACCGTTAATGGGTTTTATTTAAATGTGTACTACTCGCGTAAACTACAGATAGTATTTAAGTATATATATATAACTAAACGCGACAAAGTATATTACGTGTTTTAAACCGTTAATTAATGTTTTAATTAAATTTGTAGGCACTGCTCGTGTAAGCTACAGACAGAATTTATTAAAACCATATTAATAGCTACGGCCGTCTCCCTTACTTGATAACACGAGAGTTTGATAATTAAGATTGGTTTATTATTAACACTGATTTTCAGTGGCTAGTGACGCTAACTACAATACAAAACAAGAATTACTGGTCCAGTGGTGTAACAACGGTAACTTGTTACTGATTACTGTGCTGATGTAAAAATTGGGATACGAAATGGATGGTATGAACGTCCGTCCGTCCAGCTTCAGACAACTGTCTGTCTGTTTAAAGAGCCGTAAAGTGTAAGGTTTCAGTCCGTTCATTTCAGTTAACGGTTTGACCGCCTCTGTAGCCAAATGGTTAAACGCATTGCCTAGCATTGTGTTCAGCGCGAGAGGTCCCGAGTTCGAATCCCAGGGAAAAAAATGTTTCGGTCGGGCAGGGCACAGAAGTCCGATCAACTACTTGCCTGTTAAATAACGGATCAGTGAAACGAACACAAAAATATGTACGCCACCATGCCCCACGAGGGGAAACGGGATTTCACTACTACTACTTTAACGGTTTAAAACGCGGTTTAAAACGGTTTTAATTTTAACTACGGCTGTTGCAAAGCATCCAAAACGTCGGGGAGACTAAAGATAGATGGTGTCTCTAAGGTCAAAGTAAAAAACCGCTACGCTACCGCCATCTGTTTCGTCGAAGACCAAGAATGGTCGAGGCTTGTTCGCTCGTTATATTGCCGGGATATTTTACCTAGCGTCAATGCTTGTTCATCCTCCTATGTCATAAATAAGAAGTGAAAATTGCCTCTATGGTTTTTCAGGATCTCCCACATCATGCACCACAGATAATAAAAGTCCTGGAAAGTGTGTTAAGCCAGCTCAGTGTCAGCAACAACCGCCGGAAATCGACTTGGAAAAACTCGGTATCCTTAGGTAGAAAACTTTTTTAACAACTAGCTGTGTCCGCGACTTTGTCCGCGTAGAACTTTTTTAGGTTATTAGGTATTTAGGTTTTTTTCAAATAAAACAATTTAACGGTTTAAAACGCGATATATTAGTTAAACTTATTAAAAATGATTTTTAACTTCGGCTCGACGTTTCGGGTAGACTCCCGGTGACTAAAGGCTGCTGCAAAGCATCCGAAACGTCGCGGTCGGGCCGAAGTTACAAATCATTTTCAATAAGTTTAACTAACATATCGCGTTTTAAACCGTTAAAGTGTTCTATTTAAAAGTGTACTACTCGCGGAAACTACAGACAGCTCACATAATAGAGATTTTGGCCATATTACATTCGCTTCGCAGCGCACCCTCAAAGATGAGTAATTTTCCCCGTTTTTACCACATTTCCCTCTGTTACTTCGTTCTCCTTCGAGCCATCCTCAATAAATGCTCTAACTAACACAAAAAATCAATTCGAACTAGTCGTTTCTGAGATTAGCGCGTTCAAACAAACATTTCTTTATAATATAAGTATAGATTAATAACGGTTTTTTTTTCAGGGATAAACATTGCCATTACTTGAAGATGTGCTGTCCTTTGAGCCAAGTGATTTCTGGTACAACTGTGACACCAGCCCCGCCAGCACCGAAGAAGTCTGGATGCGGTTGGAGCAACCCTGGAGTATATGCCTTCAGGGCTAAAACTCAGAACCACGCCGAATTCGGAGAATTTCCCTGGATGATCGCTTTGATTAGGTAACTATACTTTAAATAGTAACTTGTAATCGACGGATTCTGTAGCTGGTTCATCGTTAATGATCAACTGGCCGTGGGTTGGATCCCACTACCAACATGTTGCAAATTTTTTAATTGATATTTTTTCTGAAACACACTGGGTTTTGTCTGGAAATCCGCTGTTTTAGAAAAATATAATTGATTAGGAACATTTAAATAAAAACACGATATATATTAACGGTATAATTAACGCGTTATATGTTAGTTAAACTTATTTGAAAATTAATTTTAACTACGACCCGATGTTTCGGATGCTTTGCAGCAGGCGTAGTCACATCAAATACGTTTAATTAATATATATCGTGTTTTAAACCGTTAAAGTGTTTTATTTGAATGTGTCCTACTCGCGCAAACTACAGACAGGATCGAAGCCTCTATTGATTATTAGCCATACATTGCTACCGTTACCAAAGAACTCAATATACCGTCTCTGTCCCTCAAATCTCAATAACCCATGTGTGATAGCGACGAAAGATATTTCAATTCAATATTTTTACTTCGTAGGAAATCCAGTAGTACGTGGAGCCAGAGCGACTATTTAGGAGGTGGCACCTTGATACACAAGTCCGTCGTCATGACAGCAGCGCACAAAGTCAAGCCAATCAACTATCAACCGTCGATGGTAAGAACCGATCACATTCCTACTGCCCCTATTCTATAACTGTCTTGCCCTCCACTCCCCAGTGTTGGGCCTTATGAATGGGAATTAAATAAAACATTGCTTAGCAGTTTAAACTTACTATCAGGCTTCGATGGTAGATTTCTTTAGACTCACAACATTCCCACTGCGCGTATACCTATACTGCCTTGCTCTTGAGTTTGGCCTCGTGAAAAGGTGTTAATAAAAAAAAATAAAACCCTTAAAGCAGGGTTAACGGTTTAAAACATACATACATCTTTCAAGTATTACACATTCGATTTGTCTGTAAGCATCAGGCCTGCGTCGGGTCAGAATAAAATAAAATATACATTATTCTCTTTAAATTTTAAAAATTATTTAGATTCGTCAAATTTTTTTCGTTTGTCTGTCTGTTCTACAGAGTTTATAATATTAGTATAGATAAATAATAACATCGTGTTTTTCGCAATATTTAGAAAATAACATTTCTGACATAAGGAGCCTGTCGTTTATGCGAGTACATATTTAAAAAAAAACTTTTAACGGATTAAAACGCAAACTATATTTAACGTGGTGAAGTTCTCCGTGATCTGCAAACCATCCTAATGTACGAGTTAATAAGATTCACGTTTTAAGCAGTTAAAAGTGTTTTATGTAGCATGGAAAAGTCTCTATATAGTGATTTTAATTTAATAATTTCAGGTTATCTGCCGACTTGGTGAATGGGACACACAGACCACAAACGAACAGTATGCCCACGAGGACAAGAGCGTCAAAAAGATTATTGTGCACGAGCAATTTAATTCTAGTGAGTTTATTTTTTTGTTGTGTTTCTACAAAAAATAAAACTGTGGACGCCGGTGTAAGTCCCGCCCGTGTCGATATTTTTTTTCAATCTAAAATCTATTTAAATACTCTCTTAAATAAAACCGCTTTACCGGTTTAAAACGCGATATATATTAGGTAGACTTATTTAACGTGGTCTCCCCATGACCACGGCTGCTGCAAAGCCGAAACTCGAGCCGTAGTTATAAATATATTTTTTAAAGTTTAACAGATCTCTATCCCGTTTGAAACCGTCAAATGAGTTTTATTTTACGATAATATATTAATTTTCAGAGCTCAATTCGAACAACATTGCGCTGTTGATAACGACATCAGAATTTGACTTGAGTCCCCCCCACGTCGGTATTGCGTGCTTGGGACGGCGCGTGCCCCAACCTGGGACGAACTGCTACAGCATGGGATGGGGTAAAGACTTCAATAACAACATGGAGTATGCCGTTTGGTTGAAGAAGGTGCGAAAACATGGTTTATAATACATCTGTGTGACATTTTAAAATACAAGTAACCCGGGGGGTTGGCAGGGATTTTTGGTAAACAACACTTTTAAATGTTTGAAACGGGAAGTTTATTCCTTTAGTAACATTTATTAGCTTAGTAGCTGTGGTATATGGAGGGGGGGGGGGGTGGGGTGGGGTTAATATTAATATTTCGCGTTTTAAACATAACTATATACTCATCGCGTTGCAAACAATAATAATTCGAGTATTCTTTATTATAGGTATCAATCCCTCTAGTGGAACACAGTGACTGCGAGTACTCTCTGCAGCAGTCACTGTTAGGCGGCTCGTACAGGCTTCACAACACCCACTTGTGCGCTGGTGGCAACGGGCAAGACACCTGCAAAGGGGACGGCGGCTCCTCACTCGTTTGCAAGACCCCGGTAAGACACATAAGACCAGTAAGGTTTCTCGACTCTTGAGGGGTGGGGAGTTGGGGGGGGGGGGGTGATGGTAGAAAATCGTCAAGAATATACGCGAAGAATTCTCCTCACCTACGTACTCTATGTAAGCAAAACTGGCGAACTTATTCAATGGTAAACAACGTTGGGAACTCCAGTGTCTGTGTATTGTATTCTTTACGGCCTTTAGCTCAATATGAAAATATCATTTATTTGTTACAAAGTATCTTTCAAAGTGAAAGAGAAGAGAAGATATTTAACGGGTCATGAACTTGACCATTGATTTCTTTTCGTTTCGATTCATCTATCGACGAAGTTCAACAGGTGTCAGACAAATTATATAATTAGAAATATATTGGATCCGATGGGAATGGAACGCACGGCCATTAATTACAGTATTAGCCATGTAAAACGTAAAGATTTCAGTCTGTGTATTTCTTGGTTACAGTCTTGACTCATCAGTAGATAACACATTGAATTTGAGGAAGGCTATAAGCTGTAAAACATCTGCTGTGCTCTGACCAATAGGGGCGAAGAAAGAGTGGGAAATGTGGAAAAAAAACAGGAAAGATTATTAAATCTCTGTAGGTTTCCGATGCGTACGCTGCGACACCGGTTCAAATACTGAAAAAATATGTACGAAAGAATGAATCCTCTTTGAATGATCTAAAAAAAGTCAGTTACACTATATGTCTTGCACGAACGACGGGAAGAGACGCGACCGTCGTCCTGGGTGGCTTGAAACATGATGGGGATCGCAAAAACAAATTTGGATATAAATAAAACACTTTAACGGTTTAAAACGCGATATATTAGTTAAACTTATTTAAAAATGATTTTTAACTTCGGCCCGACGTGTCGGATGCTTTGCAGCAGTTAAAAATCATTTTCAAATAAGTTTAACGAATATATCTCGTTTTAAACCGTTAAAGTGTTTTATTTAAATGTGTAGTACTCGCGTAAACTCATAGACCGTAATCAAATTTGCCAAAATGGTGTAGTCGCTGACATCTAGTGACGGCTAGTTATTAGATATTAAAGACAGTTTCACATTAACACATACATTTTTGCTTTTGTCAAAATAATACGTACTAATGATTTTCCTTTTTCCAGACCTCTAGAGCTGACCCAGATCGCTACGTGGTCTATGGTATGGTGTCTTTTGGTGTCGATTGCAAGGGCCAATACCCAGCCGTGTACGCGGACGTATCGAAGATGATTACCTGGATATCAAACAAGTTCCAGGATGAAGGACTGGACCTTTCCTTCCTTCCATAAATAAGAAAGTGTAAAGGAATTACAGTGCGCGATAGACGCATGTATATGAATCTATTTATTGAAGAAATTCGACGATGACGTGTAGGACACGGTAGCTTAATTTTTTTTTGGTTGGAGCTAAAAAATTGAGCTACCGTTTCGGAACGGTACGGAACGCTATGGATGGCGATTCACGTCCCGTTCGTATTGTCTAATTTATTCAATCAAATAGATCTCTAATTAAAAAAAATAAATGTTTTTTATCTTCATTTCTGTATCATTTATAAATTTATTCTTTGAAAACTTTATTGTTTTTTACATGTTATTGGACGTGAACGCACAATATATTTTCGATTCGTAAACTCATTCTTATTAGTAAAAAATACTATTTAGTATTATTACTTTATCATATCGAACTTTATATACTGAACATTTATCACAAGAACTTGAAAAAATCTTTAAATAAAACACTTTAACGGTTTGAAACGCGATATATTTTACTTACACTTGTTTGTAAATTATTTTTAACCACGGCCCGACGTTTCTGATGCTTTGTAACAGCCATGGTCACGGGAGACACCGGTCTCCAACAAGTTTAACTAAAATACATCGCGTTTTAAACCGTTAAAGTGTTTTATTTAAATGTGCACTACTCGCGTAAACTACGTATTTAAGTTATATAACTAAACGCGAAAAAAAGTATACTACGCGTTTTAAACCGTTAATAAATGTTTTATTTAAATATGTACTGCTCGTGTAAGCTACAGACAGAATTTATTAAAACAATATTAATAGCTACGACCTCCCTTAGATGTTAGAAGAAATAGTTGATTATTGTAGCGGCCGCCAAGAGAGGCATTGACGTACGAACGTGAATATAAATAATGAAATACGTAAGTCAAACAACGCCTAGTTGTGGCCAAGGCCTGTATAGTGCTTTTCTCACATTACAATTCTGGATCTGATAACAATAGTTTTTATCGTGCCAAAGTATTTTTTTTAACTAAAACGATTTCTATGTCCCAGCCAGTTCGAAATTTCAATTTAACCATTGATACATTATCTATGGTCGCAATGTTGCGGAGTCCGACAAGTATTTAATTTAGTAACTAGCTGTGCAAGCGACTTTGTCCGCGAGAATCGTTATTTTGGGCGTCCAAATTAGGTTTTGCAAACCCCGTCATCTCTATAATCTTAAGCTGTTAGCCACGACGTCGATCGCGTCCCTTCTCGTCGTTCTTGCAAGCTAATCATAAAAGATAACCATATGTATATTGTTAGGGATTTTTTCTTAGATCATTAAAAGAGGAATAATTCTTTCATATACATTTTTTAGTTATCTTGAACCGTTTTCGCAGCGTACGCAACTGAAACCCACAGAGGTGAAGAATTTTCCCCGTTTTGTTCACAATTCCAGCTGTATCTTCACTTCTATTAGTCACGGCTCGATGTTTTATAGTCTTTGGCCTTTCTAAATAAATGCTTTAACCAACACAAAAAGAATTTTTCAATTTGAACCAGTAGATCCTGAGATGAGCGCGTTCAAACATACAAACAAACTCTTCAGCTTTATATATTAAGTATAGCTATAGATTGCCGGCCTCTGCTCGACTTTTTTTTCAAACAAGTTAGATTTATCTCGAAGTAGGTTTAAATAGAACACTTTAACGGTTTAAAACGCGATATATTAGTTAAACTTATTTGGAAAGCCGTGGTCACGGGGAGACACGGGGGGGGGGGGGGGGGGGGCTGCTGCAAAGCATCCGAAACGTCGGGCCGAAGTTAAAAATCATTTCCGAATAAGTTTAACTAATATATCGCGTTTTAAACCGTTACAGTGTTTTATTTAAATGTGTACTACTCGCGTAAACTATAGACAGTATTCGAAGTAGGTTGTCAATATAACGCTTAAGTTTCCAACCATATTTGAGACAACAATTGTAGTGTCATACAGTATCATCTTTTACAATAAATTGATTTTTTTTCTTGATTTAATAAATAAAACAGAATTTAAAAATTAAAATTAGGTCCGTCGCAATAGAAAATCCTAATCAACGAAATTTTTTATACTATATAATAGAGAAGGACCAACACGCATGAGGTTTGCTTGATTGGAGGTGACGTACGTAGGAAGATGCACTGTATATCTATTTTGGGTTTGGATATTCGGAAGGGGGTTCAAAAGGGGTGGTATCACATCACCTCGTATGGAGTTTTGATATTTCTATCACCACATACCACCATATTATTCCACCGTCCACAGATGAAAAAGCCGTGAAGGTTACTCGCGTTTCAGTTACAGTCTCAGGATTTCCGAATATCCAAAGGCAAAATAGGTTGACAAGAAATTAGTATTTTCTATATAGTTGGTATTTTACTTCCCATCCAGTGCGTGGGGATGCTTGTCTGTCGTCCTCTACCATTAAAAATAAATAAAAAATTTGGTAACCAAAATAAGTTTCGTGTCGAAATAAATTATGCGCACGAACATTATTCGTTTATTATTCTTGGAAAGTTTTTGCATCCAGGCCTTCATTTTGGAACTGGCCCGATATCCAGTCAATCATTCGTGTGACGTCCACATACACCCCGGGGTAGTTGCCACTGCAGTCGATGCCAAACGCGGCCATGCCATACACTGAGAAGCGGTCAGCATCAGACCCGGGTTGCTGAAGACACAAGAAATGAATTTATAATTATAAGTCGTATGCCGCGGTATTTACAAAGCCCCTTGGGGTAAAAATAAACTCCCATTTTGCCAACCCAAGCTTTCTTCTCTTCTCTTAGGCAAATGTGCTAAGTATTTATTCCTTTCGTAGCTTACTCGAACAATCCAAATAGACCTTTAATTCGAGTTCATCATATAGCAAAAGCTTTGAGTCCTAAATTTTGTATTGATTACATCGGCCATTTGCAAAACTACTTGAGTTGACTGCTGTTCCGCCGTCGTAATTGAGGAATTGTTCTCGACTTGGCCCTCACGAGTGGATGAGCCTTGAAATTTGCGTCTTTAGTCTTATGATCTCCATAAGTCGAGAGCACATCGTAATTACGTCGAATGTTGCTGTGGCATTTCACTTTTGATCATAAGCATGGGATTGTCTGTTCTTTGAAGCTACGTAATAAGTAATTACCGAGATCTTGCAAACAAGAGGGGATCCACCATCGCCTTGGCACGTATCCTGGCGTCTGCCACCAGCGCACATGTGGGTTCTGTCCAACCTGAACCGAGGTCCTAGTACGGGGGCTTGCTGAAGAGAGATTTCGCAGTCCCCTCTGTCCACGATTGGGACGGATACCTGAAACGAACAGGCAATTTAGTCGCAAGTGTCCGGCATGTATGACGCAAACATTAGCTTTGCTGACTTTGGAACTTACGCAATGACGGTATTGTTCAGTCTTTCTACCACCACTCTCTTTTTATAAATATAAAAGAGAAAAAGAATCTTATTCCAAAAATAATAAAACAGGATACAAAATAACTCAACCTCTACTATTTCAAATCAAAATTTAAATAAAACACTTTAACTTTAAACTAAATATTATTAAACTTATTTGAAATATTTTTTTGATGAATAATTCAACTAATATATCTTTTAAACCTTAAATTTTTATAAATTTACTATAACAGTATTTATTTCATCAATTTAAAATAATATATAAAAATTCCATTAATTAAGATTTAAAACTAAATTATATTAAAAATAAAGAGATAAATATGGTATAAAATCGCGATTTTTGTTGATTAAAAAAAAAAAAAAAAAAAAAAAAACAAAAGGGGGAAAAAAAAAAACCCCCTCTTTTTTTTTCCCCCGGACCCCGGGGGGGGGAAAAAACAAGGAAAAGGCGGGGCAAAAATTTTTTAAATAATTTTCACTAATGTATGTTTGTTTTTATTTAAATTTAAAAATAAGTCAATATGACAGAAACTTTTTTTTAATGGGCCCCCCGCGGCCCCAAATGAAAAAAAACTCGTGAAGTCTAAAACTACGTTTGGGTGCCAATATTCCGATTGGACCCGGTGGGGATAGAACCCCTTATTGATTGACAGGCCGGGTCCTTGCAAAATTGACTGGTGTCTTCACGTTAGCCGCTATGATGTTTATTGGGATAGTTTTGTTTTATTTAAACTCGCGTAAACAACAGACGGTATTTGTCTTTATACCAGAACATGCCATATGTAGCTGTGCCCCTACCTCCATCACAAGATTACCTCTAAATAAAACACTTTTAACCGTTTAAAACGCGAAATGTTGACGAGTACGAGTCATAATTGGTTTATGGACGGAACAGATGACTCTCCTAGCGTAGCAGATGTTTACTTTGACATTAAGGGCATCCCCCATCTTCAGTCGCCCCATGACCACGCCAGCTGCAAAGCATCCGTAACTTCGGACCGTAGTTTAAATAAGTTTAGCTGATTAGTTTCACGTTTCAAGCCGTCAATACTGTTTCACTCAAATGTGTACTTGCGTAAACTACAGGCAGTAAAGTATACCTTTTTCAACGAGATGGCGTATTCCATGAGTTTATGCAGCTGTTGGCCCCACCCCATGCCGTGGCAGTTCGTCCCAGGTTGGGGCAGACTTCGTCCTAAACACGCTATACGGGTGTTAGGGTAACTCAGATCAAACTCCGACTTTGTTATCAGTAAGGCGATGTTGAAAGCGTTGGTTTCTGAAAAATTACCAAATTGGTCTCTATTGGTTACTAATATATAAAGCTGAAGAGTTTGTTTGTTTGTTGGATTGATGGCTCAAAACCCGATTGCATCATTATCGATTACTAGCTGTGTCAACAACTTCGTCAGCGTAGACTAGTTATTTTGGGCACCCACATAAGTTTTTGCAAACCTCCTCTCCATATTCTCAAAATTGTAGCTGACGGTTCAAGATACCCACGGTTGGGTATCTTGAACCGTTTTCGCAGTGTACGCGTCGGAAACCCGCAAAGATGATATCCACCTTTTTTCACATCTCCCGCTGGTTTTCTTATAAGTTTTACTAATATATATCGCGTTTTAAATCGTTAAAGATTTTATTAAAATAAATCGTATTCCCCACGTTGTAGATGCAAAATATAACTAACTTGAATTAAAGTTCTCGTGCACTATAATCTTTTTGACGTCCTGATCCTCGTGGGGATACTGTTCGTTTGTGATCTGCGTATCCCACTCACCAAGGCGACAAATGACCTGAAATTATTAAAATACATTTATACTAATATAAATAAATAAAATATAAAAAGTTATAGAATTTGTTTGTTTGTTTATGTGTTCTACGGGTTCTAATAAAAAATATATATTTGTGTTAGTTATAACATTTATCGAGGAAGGTTAAAGGCCATAAAACATCGCCATATGACGAATACAAGCGAAGATACAGCGAGAAATGTGAAAAAAAAAATAGAACATTATTCACCATTACGGGCGTCCGAGACGTTCGCTGCAAGAACCGGCTCAAGATACCCAAAAAATGTGTATAAAAGAATGATTCCTCTATAAATGGTTGATCTGTTGTTCTAACGTTAATACGTACCAGCGAAGGTTGAAATTTGAGGGGTTTTAGCTTATGCGCTGCCGTCATCACCACAGACGGATGTATCAAGGTGCCACCCCCCACGTAGTCCCTCTGGACCCAATCGTCCTGATCATTGGATTTCCTGGAAGAAGATGATGATAGTTATAAGTATTTATTTATTTATTAATAACCACTTAAATGTAATTATTTTAACATGAGAGTGGGTTACAATATTATTTTATACATCCATTAATAAGATATATAATTGTTTTTATTTTTTCGGATGCTTTGCAACCGTGGTCACTTGGAGACACGTCGGGCCATAGCCACAATAATTATTGTATAATAACTAAAATATATCAGGTTTTAAATAGTTAAAGTGTTTTACGCGAGTAGTACACATTTACTACAGACAGTATTTTAGAGTAGACTGTCTGTAGTTAGTAGTGTGTAGTAAAAGGAGAAAAAATAACTTAAGCATTGGAAAGACTTATAAAGCAAACTCTTAAAAGAACGGAGTGACTGAGTTTTTCTGATATTAGTAGGAAGATAGATCCAAAGGCGGATAGTTTTATGGCAGTTCTTCTCGTTCCTTTTTCGCCCTTGTTTTGAGAACAGGTAGTAAACGTGAAGTTAGATTCTGTAGTTTTGTGACGTTCATAAGTTTATTTAGAATATATGAATGACCCATATGAAGAAATCAATTGATTTTGACGTTGACTGTGACAGAATTATTGAAGAAAGAGCTTTTATGTTTGGGAACAAATAAAAGAATATTATCGATAAAACGAAATTTTAACTGGTAGGTACTCCAAAGTGTCTATCCCTTTTAAATAAGAGGGAGTTTTGGGATCAAAGAGGACATAGTAGAGGAGACGGAGTAGATGGGTTTGAATACGGATAACTTGCTGATTGTATCTGTAACTACTCACTTGATCAAAGCCACCATCCACGGGAACTCCCCGTAACCGGCTTGGCCCTCTGTGTTGGTTCTAAAGGCGATACCATCATTACTCCAGCCGCAACCCAGCTTTTTCTGTGCAGGAGGGGCGGTCACGACTTCCGTAACCTTGATTTGGTCTAGTGGACAGCATAGCATCAAGTAGAAACAGGTTTGGTCCCTGAAAACCAGAAGAAACAAAGAGTCTGAGCTTTGTATTGGTAGCAATGTATCCAGCGCCAGCGCCAGCGACAATCGTTATTCTGGGCATCAAAATTCGTTTTTGCAAATCCCTTCATCTTTATAAACTTGAGCTGTTATCGACGACGTCGATCGCGTCCCTTCCCGTCGTTCTTGCAAGTTAATCTTAAAAGATAGACATATAGTGTCGCAAACTTATTTTCAGATCATTTAAAGAGGAATCATTCTTTTATACATATTTTAGGTCATGTTGAACCGTTTCAGCAGCCTAATCATTGAAATCCATAATGATGAATTATTTCCCCAATTTTTATCACATTTCCCGCTGTATCTTTGCTTTTATTAGTCACAGGGCGGTGCTTCTAGCCTATAGCCTTCCTCGATAAATGCTCTAATCGACACAAAATAATTTTTCCATTCCAACCTTCTAATAAAGTGCCTGAAATTAGCGCTTATGAACAAACAAACTCTTCAGCTTTATATATTAGTATAGATTAAAATAATTTACCTGTTTACACCCGTTGTAGAAAGCTCAATTTCGTCTCTAGTTTTCAAACATTGTGTCGGCTTAACACAACGACCTTTACTTTGATCGTTTAATACACACGAGTTCTTTGTCACTGAAAAGGTTTTTATTTTATAAAACTGAAAAACGACGCGTATGTGTAAACTACCTTTAGCGTTATAATTCTTCACCATTTGTTCGTTTATAAGCTACTAGCTGTGCCCGCGTCTTCGTACGCTTGGAATAGTGACTTGGGGTAGAATTTTTAATTTTTTAGACTGTTTATTAATTTATATAAGGGCGTATTTAAGGCAGCCATCTATGTTGTAAGTGCTACTTTGCCGCAACACTCTTACCTCACATCACTCCTCCTTTAACTCCCACTCTCATTCCTACACTCACTCCCACTCCCACTCCCATGCCTTCTCCCACTCCCAAGCCTATTCCCAAAAAGCCAAAGAAGAATGTTCCATTGTTCTATCTTCAAAAATCACGAATTTCCATACAGCTTTTCACCCCCAAAGTCTAGACCATCTGTGTACCAAATTTCATTCAAATCCGTTCAGTAGTTTTGGCGTGAAAGAGTAACAGACAAACAGACAAGAGTTACTTTCGCATTTATAATATTATATTAGTAAGGATTAAGATTATTAATAATTTAGACTATATCTATAAAAGCCAAATAAAAATCCTTTTAAATTGAGAAAATTTCACGAGTCAGTCCCGTTTGTCTGAAAAAAACTAGCGCCATCTGTCACGGTTTCAGTAGCTGGATTTCTGACCATCCAAAATAGTTCGACAGCACATCTTGCTTGAAAAGATCGTACAATTTAAAGATGAGATTAAGATTTTAAATCTGGTAAGGTGGTACCTGCTGGTGGTTGCGTAGTTGGTGGTGGAAGGTGCTGCTGAAGAAATAAATCTGCTTTGCTTATACCTTGCGCCCTACATCCAATAACAAATAAACACATGAGTAACCTGTAAAAAATAGTCAAATGTCACTCTGACAGCAGTCAAAACATCAATAACAACGATGTCATTTTGAAACGGTGAATATTGTCTGTAGTTTACACGAGTAGTACACATTTAAATAGAACACTTTTAACGGTTTGAAATGCGAAATATAAAATACTGTGTATAGTTTACGCGAGTAATACATATTTAAATAAACCACTTTAACGGTTTAAAACGTGATATATATTAGTTAAATGTATTGAACTTTATAGCCCATAGCCTTCCTCGATAAATGCTCTAACCAACACAAAAAAAAAACAAAAAATCGAAGCCGTAGTTCCTGAGATAATCGCGTTCAAACAAACAAACTCTTCAACTTTATATATTAGTAAAGAATTTTCTGGAAAACCAACCCAGAATTTGTTTACGTTCACACTATATCTATATGTTATATATATTAATTAAAAACTTACTTTATAACAGCCATATTAAACCACAGTATGTACCAATACAGCCCGCGAGTGACATAGTATTATATTCGTTAAGGAAAACTGTATATTATATATTTAGTGTTTTGAATTCCAAGCCATATTCTTGTTTATCGAGGTCAAACGATAAACCTCTTAAGGTCAAAATATCGAGTGGTCTAAAATCTATACTAATATATAAAGCTGAAGAGTTTGTTTGTTTGTTTGAACGCGCTAATCTCAGGAACAGCTGGCTCGAATTGAAAAATTATTTTTGTTTTGTTAGAGCACTTATCGAGGAAGGCTATAAAATTCAATAAACCGTTAAAGTGTTTTATTCCCGTTTTAAATCGTTAATCTTCTATTTAAAGGTGTATTACTTGCGTAAACAACAGACAGTATTTTAAATTTCCCGTTTTAAACCGTTAAAAGTGTTCTATTTAAATGTGTGCTATAAAACAGCGCCTCGATCAATAGAGGCGAGGAAAAATTCATCTCTGTGGGTTTCCGATGCATACGCTGTGAAAACGCTTTAAGAGAACTAAAAAATATTTATGAAAGAATGATTCCTTTTAAAATGACGTAAAAAAATGTCCGCGACACTATATAGTGTCTTGGACATTTTTTTACGATTAACTTGCAAGAACGACTGGCGACGGGACGCGACCCATGTCGTGTGTTACAGCTTAACCTTATAAAGATGAGGAGGTTTGCAAAAACACAACCTAAATAACTATTATACAGACGAAGTCGCTGACACAGCTAATCATTTAACATGAATATAACATCGAGTAATTATGTTAGTTACCAATCATCCCCGTAACGGCTGAACAAATTTTGATACACATATATTTTTTATGGTTGAGGACAGACGAGCAGGACATTCATTTGATTGTAGGTAAAATTCCCCAGTCATAACGTCTAAACAAAATGCGTCGATCTATTTTGGCTTTGGATGTTCGGAAATCCACAGGCTCAAACCGAAACGATTATAGTTGACGGCTTTTTCATCTGTGGTCTGTCACGCGAACGGACTTTCGATATTCCTAACACCAATCCAGTCTGAAAAGGAAACGCGATCGCGGGTTCATGACCGAGACGAAATTACGATATGACTACCATTTATTATGTACATTTAGACGTAAGTAAATTGAACTCCAGTATCCCCGCATGGGGCATGGGACGAACACATTTCTGTGTCCGTTACACTGATTGGTTTACAGACAAGCAGTTTATCAGAATTCTGTACCCTGCACGTCCGAAGCAATTTATTGTTTCCCCGGGAGTCGAACACATTTCCCCATTTAGCTACTGACGCGGTTTAGACAATGTCCCAGAAAAACAATAAATTCATTTAACATAGATTAAAAATCGAAAATAAATTGAAAAAAAATTTCGACTCCGGCAGGAATTTCTAATCTAGTTATATTTAAAATAAATAACGGTTTAAAACGCGATATATTAGTTAAAATTTATTAAGTTAAAAAGCCGAAGTTAAAAATTATTTCCGAATAAGTTTAACTAATATATCGCGTTTTAAACCGTTAAAGTGTTTTATTTAAATTTGTACTACTCGCGTAAACTATAGACAGTATTTAATCTACTTATATGTGAAAACTATCAAAGTTTTCAAATGATTATAAACTTACGGAATAGGTCTTACGACCCGTTGGATCTTATGAGGTGATTTACTACCATTGGACGACCCGTCAAATGTGTCTATTAATAGCATTCCATATCGACTGGTATTTCCAACCGACGTTTGGTTTACAGTTAATTAGTTTAAATCAATCAGTTATAACGAATTCATGACACACAAACATGAAGTAAGTATATTCAAATAATTTTATTTTTAAAAACGAATACTAAAATAGATGTTACTTGCAGTTTGCGTTTGAAACCGTTAAAGTGTTTTTTTTAAATGTGTAATACTCGCGTAAACTATAGACATATATTTAAGGTGTTTTATGTCGTGTTATCTACATATAGTATAACGGATTATCTAGATAATCATATGACGTGTATCATATAACAACATTAAAAGTTTCTTCTTAAAACATAAAAAAGCTTGGGTTTTATTTTAATATAATAATCGAGATTTAACATTTTAATGGTTTAAAACGTGAAGCATTTTCGTTACAGTCGGTATACACAAATGTAATTAGTTTATTACTTTCCTGTTTTAAACGGTTAAGTGTTTTGTAAATTGTGTAAGGCTTTCACGGCCATCGTTCAGCGAATAACTGTTTCTGAATTCTTCGAGCAATCGAGGAGGTTACATCTCCTTATGGTGTCGCCCGCTCGTGATGGGGAAACATCGAGAGCCTCTTCTCATTCACGTCTGTTGAAGTTGAGGGCTGTATTGAACAAGTAACATTCGAATCAGCTAAAAAGTGATTTTTTTTATTATTTTTCAGGTATTTTCTTGTGCTTTCGTTGCTGCCCTTGCTGTGTCACACGCAGTCAGAAGAATTTGTTGATTTAAATACAGCAGATCAGCTCAATTTATTATTTCAAAATGCACCTGGACTAGGTATGTATGTACATTTTAGGGTTACGTTCATATGAGTAAAAACCCTATTACTAACGGTTTTATTTGTTTGTTACTACGCTGTGTCTTAAGAACTAGATATAGTTAAACTTAGTACTTTAAAATAAAACACTTTAACGGTTTAAAACGCGATATTTATTAGTTAAACATATTTTGAAAATATTTTAATAATTCAATTAAAATTTCAATAACTGCGGACCGACGTTTCCGACGTCCGAAATAAGATTAAATAATATAGCGCGTTTTAAACAGTTTACTTAAATATTTCTACTCGCGTAAACTACAGACAGACAGTTTAAGAAAATACATATTTAGGGGGGGGGGCAATTTACCTACCACTAAAGCGACGAAATAGTGGGACATGTGAAAAACTTGGAAAATTACTCTGAACTTGGGGCATTCCGTTGTGTTCGCTGTGAAAACAATTGAATATATAAGAACATATGTAAAAAATATTTTTTTTAAACAATCCAAACAAATGGCCATAACACTATACGTCTACGTTTTAAGATTACCTCACAAGAACCATTTTTATGGCAATCGACTTTTGATCGAAATACTTTACACTATGGCGGGTCACTAAAACCGAGGGCAATAAAAAAACATACAAATAAACAGCAGGTACTTATAAAATGCAAAACTTTTTTTACAGATTCGCAAGATACCTCCAGCGTAGCAGACACACCGAAAACACACGTTGATACCAAAACGAATAATTGTAAAAGGTTATTAATGATTATTCTTATTTTCTATTAAAACTCATTTTATATTGGCAATACATTAGGCTGTTTAAAGACCGGGATAGTTCAATAAATTTAAAATGAAACAATATTGCCGTGATATCATGACGGGAATTGAGGAGATAGCAGCACGAAGCGATATATCGGGGGTTTAATTCCCGCCCGTGTCGTCGAACTCTTTGAGTGCAATATATTTTTTAAAGTGTCTGTATTTTACGCGAGTAGTACACATTAAAAAAAAACACTTTAACGGTTAAAAAAGCGATATATTTTATTTAAACTTACTTGAACAATATTGTTAATTACGGCCCGACGTTTCGGATGCCTTGCAGCAGCCGTGGTCACAGCGAGACTGCAAAGCAAGTTTTCAAATAAGTTTAACTAAAATATATCGCGTTTTAAACCGTTAAAGTGTTTTATTTAAATCGATTCTTTTAAAGCTGCCATGTAAAAGTAATGTAAAAGTAAGTAGTAATGATCCAGCAATTGTAATTATATTTCTGTAATTTGATGGTATCTGATATCCACCTTTTATAGATCACGTGTTGCTATATATAAATGAAATCCTAAAAATCAGGAATCTGCTATGTACGTATCTCGTACGTAGTATGGTTTTGTTATACTAAACGTACTTTTCCTTATTTACAGTGGTAGGAACTGTCAAAAAGATATTTCTGGACCATTGGATGAGAGTCCAAAAATAAAAACCACGCCAAAAAAAGTACCTAATACTCTAGAGTTAATAAATGAGAAGGCACCTTTAGAATCAACGACAAAACCTAGTTTAAATCTTAAAACAAATGAAGGCTCAGTAAGACCGGATTTGAAACCTGGCCGTCAAAACCCTACTGTCAAAAAAGATAATACAAACACCAATCGACCGAAAGAATATCAGTCCAGGGAGCAGGACATTCAGCGAAAGACAGAACTACACAATTCAATTTACTTGAAGGCACAGAGACCAGATATAACCCCAGGTCGAATAAACTCTTCAGTTCAACAAATCTATAAAAATTCATCCGTACCCAGCAAGATGAATATTGGCAAAACTAATTCAAGTGCATTTAACCAAAACACGTTTGATCGCTCCAAAGTAAACCAATCGCAATTTCTAGATCTCCAACCAGCTTCTAGATCAAAACCATCAATTAGAACAGTCAATGAAGACCCAATTTTAAAGCTATCAAAATCGGATGGCTATCCAAAAAATAATATCTCAAACACAGCAACACTAAAGCCAATAGATCTGTCTCCGAAATTAAACACGCCGCTGAATTCAAAACCTGTAAAACCCCCACCATCTCCAAGTGTGATTCAATCCAATATAAAGAATGCAACAAGTGATGGCAAATTCGACATAACCAAGTTAAGCTTGTTCGGTTATCCGAATAATTTAAATAAATCACCAGGACCCAGCACAGTAGATCGTGCAAACACTTCAGTGTACTTCCACCAGCAGAAAGATCATCATCAAGCAAATGCTGTATCAAACCCCACGAAGACGAGTGTCGTGGATCGGAAACCAACCCATCCAAAAAAGTCGCTAATAACACTAGGATATAAGAACAATCAAGGTGAACCGACAACGCAAAGAAACCAGTACATCTCGACCAAGCCAAGTTTACCTAAATTACCAAATAAGGGCTCAGTTACTTCGAAGGGTCATACAAAGTTGGAAGAGCCCTGGATCGAAAGGGAGAAGGTAAACAGACAGAATCTGTTTCATGTCGTGAATAGACCTGGTCCATACTCCAGCCCCAACGGTGTTCCCACCTTCAGACCCCAGAGACCTATACACTATGCAAGCGGCGGAAGCGAGTCTCCAGATTATTATTATGAGTTTTTGTACCCGGTACGCTCGCCTGAAACGTTTTTGGTTATATCCAATTTAAGGATCCTTTCGACTCCATGTTATTTGCCTTATCGCCATGTATATGTGTCCAACCGTCGGGTGTAGATCTCTCTAATAAGAGGGAGGATTTGAGGATTTAGAACCACCAGGTGTTCCAGAGTTGGTCAGCGAACTTTAACCACTATCACTTCTCAATCCTTGATTTGCATTGACGATTTAACAAGTTTTCGGCGTAATGAAGATAAAACGGAAAACCTACTTCCAAACTAGTATTGGTAATTTTAAATTGAATACTGTCTATAGTTTACGCGAGTAGTACACATTTAAATAAAACACTTTAACGGTTTAAAACGCGATATATTAGTTAAACTTATTTGAACATGATTTTTAACTTCGGCCCGACGTTTCGGATGCTTTGCAGCAGCCGTGGTCACGGGGAGACTACGAAGTTAAAAATCATGTTCAAATAATTTTAACTAACATATCGCGTTTTATACCGTTAAAGTGTTTTATTTTCATTTTAAATTGTTCAAAATAAATTTGTTAATGGTAAGAACGTCAGCACGGAACACTGTAGTCGTCGGTTTGGGTCCTATTCGTATCACTATTTTGTTAAATCTAGATTTTTGTAATGTATAGCTATTATTTGCAATTCAAGATATTTTTATCTAACTTAAACTAATATATTTTGTAACTTAAACCGTTCAAATTGTTTTATTTGAAGTGTATCACGGAAGACTGTAGTCGTCGGTACGAGTCCCGCCTGTATCACTATTTTGCGAAATCTAAAAAACAGACGATTTTTGTAGTGCATAGCTATTATTTGCAATTCAATATATTTTCTAACTTTATCTAAAAAATACATTTAACAATTTAAACCGTTAAAATGGTTTTATTCCAAATGAATCACGGAACACTGTAGTCATTGGTTCGAGTCCCGCCCGTGTCACCATTTTGTGTGTCATTTGCAACAACACTTCCAAATAATAATGTTTTAAGTTTAACTAATATATTTCACGATTTAAACCGTTTATTGGTTTTATTAAAATGAAGTAATGTGCTACTCACGCATGTAAACCACACTACCAATAAACTATATTATGTTTTATACTATTTTATTATAGTCTAGAATAGAAAACGCGTAACATTTTCACGTGAACCAAAAAAGTCAACTTGACATTAAATATATAACATTATGTAAGGATTAAGTAATATTATTAACGTTCTCGTTGGTATAGTGGCTAATAATCAACGGGACGAGGGTTCGGATCTCCACCAGGTCCAATGCTTCTGAAACATGTTGGACTTCGTCTGGAAATCTGGATATCAATTGGGTGGTAGGAATATAGAAATTCCGTCCGGGTCACGAACCACCGTCCACAGATGAAAATGCCGTGAAGTTCATCGCGTTGCGGTTTCAGTCTTCAGATTTCCGAATATCCAAAGCCATAATAGATTGACAGCATCTTGTTTAGATGCTATAGGCTCATATCACCTGCTATCAAGTGAACTGGCTCGACCATTACAAAACTACATACATGTGATAAATAAATATGTAAAGAAGAAGAATGTTTAATTCTTAACAAAGACCACCACAATATCGGTGAAAACTAATCATGTACGGGAGATTTAAGTTTCAAAGACGGTGCAGTGTTTTGAGTTCGGGTACCGAAGCCACCTCGATATTCGCCGTCAAGCAATCGCGCCAGACAGCTGGAAATTGAACCGCTGGATCTAAAAGAAATACGAAATAAATAAAAATTCTATTTATATTGAAGAAAAAAAATGTTACAACAATGGCAGGTTGCATCAGCAGCACGTTAGGTCTCCGGAAGTCCCGCTCGTGTTGTAATTTTTTTTCCGTTCCAAGAGATTTTTAATTTATAGCATACCATGTTTTCAAACACGAAATATTGCAACAGCTCTATCCGATAAATTTCATAATTTTAAACTTAAATATAAAAATTCTAATGGTTACGATACAGTAACAATATCGTAATCGCTTTTGAACATTTCAATTAAACACTTATAACGGTTGAAAACGCGAAGAATATGACTTAAATTATCTACAATATATTTTAACTACGGCCCGACGTTTCGGATGCTTTGCAGAAGTCATGGTAACGAGGGGACTGAAGATGATGGGTGTCCCTTATGCTGAAGTCAAATCTGCTACGCTAGCGCCATCTGGGCTCTAAACATAAAACAAGACTGACATTCTGTTGCATTTGAGGCTTATCAATCGACACTAATCTATACTACTATTATAAAGCGGAAGGTTTGTTAGTTTGAACGCGTTAATCTCTGGAACTACTGAATCGAATAGAATTTATTTTTGTGTTGGTTGGACCACAAAATCAAGGTAGGTTTGAGCCTATAAAACATCAGGCTGCGGTAAAGAAACGGCGGGAAGCGTATTAAAAACAGAAAATACACGTTAGACTATCGTCTTCAAATCTGAATATTAAATGCGCGAAGAAATGTCATAACTCCGTCCTGGTCTCAAACTGTCGTCCACAGATGAAAAAGGCATCAAGTTTAATCGCCTTTCGGTTTCAGTCTCCGAATTCCCAAAGCCGAAATAGGCCGACAGCGCATCTTATGTGTTACATGGCTGGGCAATTTCACCTACCATCGAGTGAACTCCTTGCTTGTCTGTTCTCCTCTATCTAAAAAAAGCCGAAAACCTAACGTTTGTTTGTTTATTATTTACCGTTTTTGCTAGCTGTCCGAGGGAAATGGTTTTTAGGGCATGCAGTTGGGAAAACGTGTTCATCACACCATCCCAGCCGCGAAGCCAGGATCTCCAAGCCCTTAGTGGTGACGTAGCGGGTCAGAGTGGTCCTCTTCACGTTCAACATGACACCAGGACCTACTCCGACCGCCGTATATCACTCTTCAATTTTATCCAAAATTTTCTTCAATATTTCAATGCTGTCATTGTCGTTTAACTTTGTTAAGACAATGTTATGACAGTGCTTTTATACTCAAAAAGTATATATGATGAAGTATGTAATGGGCTATTTGACTGATTTTTAAAATGTACTTTATACCATTGCTTAGATGTAAAAGAACGCAATAATAGTATTTTTGAAATCTGATACATATTTGCTGATATATATATCAAATTGAAAAACCAAGCTAATTTTGCGAAATAACCCTGCAATACGGCTAGTGACGTCACGAGATTATATTAGCCATTAGTGTATGTCGACCATATGATCTACTACAATCTACATTTGTACCAAACATTACAATTTTAACAGTGCCTGAAGTAATAAAATGAGTTACAAATGTATTTAATTTTTAATTCAGAGAATAAAACAGTTTTAACACTAGGAAGCCCGGTGGTTCATATTTTATAGCACTTTTATAAGCAAGTGACGTGAAAAACTCGACCAATCAGGAGCGTTTCGTGTCGCGTGACAAATGTTTAAAAAATAAATTTTTACTACCGGTTTATTATTTAAATCTATTTTTTATGGGATAATTATGTCACTGTTTTATTTTTATAAACCTATACTTAATATGTTAAAAGTATTTGACGTTAAGTTTATCGCATTGTCAAATAGCTCACTATTACCTTTGGAGTTTATCTACGTGTTATAAATACTCCTTTGTATATGTATGTTCTTAAGATGATATGTCGTTGCCATAGTTACCATTCTTGTTACAATATGTTTTATTTATTAAACTTTATAATAACACTATTTACATAATGGAAAGAAACAATTGTTAGTGATAGTTTTTTAATATCGTTTAAAAAATCATTTTGAACGGCTTAAAACACAAAATGTTGTTACTTTATTTTTCTACCTTTTTATTGTAGTTGTGGTTTCCCATTGAACACGGCTGCCACTTTTAATGGTTTAAAACCCAAAATGTATACGGCCCAACGATTTTGGTGCTTTGCAGCAGCCGCAGTCACAGAAGCGTAGTCCTGTTGTAAATACTCCTTTGGATTGGTTGTAAACACTCAATGCCCTTAAGAAGATATGTCATCGCCATAGTTACCATTCTTGTAACATTTAGAATAAATCAAAAACGATGTGAATACAGTTCTTTAATAAAAACCATATTTATTTAGTAGTAGGTACACATAATAATTTTAGGCTATTTATTTATTTACACAGTTTTTATTGTATTATTAATGTCAATAATTAATACGTTAATTGTCGTTTTGAAAATCGAATTTCCCTCATCATTCATCTTTTATTTTGGCCCAAGCGCATGGTAGTTTTTCCAGTAGGCATTCTGGTAGTATTTTTCTCAACGTATCCGCGACTTTGTCGAGTAGGTCATTGAACAACACCCAGAGTCTCGACATCCAATATAATGACCCCATCGCAAATCCGAGCAAGCTGCAAAAATACATATTAGTTTATTTAAAGATACATAAATATCAGTTACATAGATAGATAAAGAACATATTTATGTAAATTGTGTAAGGCTCTCACGGCCATCGTTCAGCATATCATTGTCTTTCGGGCTGTTCGGCCGATATGAGCGAGAAGAGGGTCTCGACGTTTCGCCATCACGTGTGGACGGCATCATCAGAAGATCGTAACTCCTCGATTGCTCGAAGAATTATGACATATTTATTTATTTAGGAAACTACTATAATAATTTCCTAAAGACATGCAAACTTACTTACAGAAATCTAAATCTATACATGTATTTAAAGTTGGAGTTGTATGTTTGAAGGCGCTAATTTCACGGAATTACGGGTTCACATTGAAAAATTATTTTTGTATTGGTCAGAGCATTTATCGAGGAAGGATATAAAGCATACACACGCCGTGACTAATAGCAGCAAAGAACAGCGGGAAATATGAAAAAAAAGTAGTGAAAATAATTTATCATTGTGGGCTTTTGCTCTTTAAAAGGTCTAAAAATGTCCACGACAGCATATTATGTCTATCTTTTAATATAAACTTGCAAGAAAGACGGGACGCGACTGTCGTCGCGGGTAACTGCTATGATATATGTATAAAGATGGGGAGGAGGTTTGCAAAAACAAAGTGTGATGCCCAAGATCAGTACGCGGACGAAGACGCAGACGCAGCTAGTGTATATATATATACCCAGAGACAGTTCCTTAACAGGCTTAACAAAGAACATCGCAAGGTATAAATAACTAAGATGTGTCACGGTCAGCAACAGTCTCTTGCAGTACAACAAAGACAATTTCAAATACTGTCTATAGTTTACGCGAGTAGTACACATTTAAATAAAACACTTTAACGGTCTAAAACGCGATATATTAGTTAAACCTATTTGAAAATGATTGAAGAATGTCTCCCCGTGACCACGGCTGCTGCAAAGCATCGGAAACGTCGGGCCGAAGTTAAAAATCGTTATCAAATTAGTTTAACTAATATAACGCGTTTTAAACCGTTAAAGTGTTTTATTTAAAAACAATTTTAATTGATTTTAATGAATTTATTTATTTGGGTCTATATTAGAAATTGAAATTTAAGCACCTTCCCGTTGTCAGATAGATCTGGTATTTACTGGTAAGCACATTAATTAATTTAGATGACAATACAATATAATGAAATCAATAACATTATAAATCCAAGATGGCCGCCGATACAAAATGGCGGATTACATATTCTTCCTTAACCCCCTCAATATGGGTATCAAATGAAAGGGCTATAGTACTAGTAAAACACGATTATAACGGAATAAAAAAAATGTTAAAATTACTAAAATGGCTATAAAAACGGGTTGTTCACCCTTATAGTATGAAAAATATTAAAATCGGTAAGAATCGGAGCCGTTTCAGAGGTGTACTAACTACTAACATTGTGATGTGAAAATTTTGTAACTATATTAAATTTTAATGTTAAATGCAAACACGAAAATAAATCAACATAATTTTACCTGTTCACGTATACGTTAGTTTAATTACACACACACACAGGATTATATAAAAATTAACGGGTGTGTGTGAAATCCCGTTTCCCCCTCGAGGGGCATGGGGCGAACACATTTCTGTGTCCGTTTCACTGATCCGTTTTTTTAAGTAGTTGATCAGACTTCTGTGCCCTGCCCGACCGAAATATTTTTTCTTTCCCCAGGATTTGATCCCAAAACCTCTCGCGCGTAACGCAATGCTAGGTAATACGTTTCACCATTAAGCTACAGAGGTGGTCAAAAACTGAAAGGGATGTTGACTATTTTTGAGAAAGAGTTTTGAGTTTTAAGCCCCAACTTTAAAAACAAACCTTTAAAATTTAAGTTTTTAAAATCCCATAAACATTGTAATAAAACCTACCTAATGACGTCATTAGTGAACTTAACAAAAAAAATTACGAGCTCGAAACGTCGGGCCGTATTTAAAATAATTTTTACATAAGTTTAAAAATATATTTCGCGTTCTAAACGGTTAAATTGTTTTAAACACATAAATGTCTTAATACAGCACCTAACTCCACATACCACGTACCTTATTACAAATTCATGAGTTATTAACGCCATTTTTAATAATACACGGAAATTATCTAAATAAATAATTATTATATAAATAAACAATTACCCCATTTCACTGGAGACTGTCTCTTCACAATAAATAATGTATATTACAGGAATTTTGTATTTATATACCGTTTTCACTTTAGTATAAGAGCCTGTAGTGCTAATTACATTATTACTCGAGCGCCGATAGAATCCGTTATTTTCATTGATGGAAACATAATTTTTTAAGACAGAAAGAAATATATTTTCCTCCTTGAGTCGTATTACTCAAGATTGAGGAATACGACTCAAGGAGGACCATTTTTTTAAATTTCCTACCAGCTATGCAAACAGGCAACAAATACCTATATTTTTTTAGGTTATAAAGAAACAAATATTCGTCTTCGTAACATCTGTGGTGGTGGGAGGTTATACTTAAGTATTGTCTGTAAAAGACCACATCTAAAAATATATTGACTAATAAGTCATTATAATAATAAATAGGTCAATATATTTCGCATTTCAAACCGTTGGAAGATTTTTGTTTAAAAGTTGTAATTACTGATTTTGTTAATCGTTTTTTTTATATCCCTATTAACACTTCTTAATATGTGTTTCTGGTGACACATTTTTTATATTTGTTGGGTTTTCTGAATAAGCCCACCAATGTTGAGCATAGACACAGACTCGAAGTCATCGTCGATGTATGAAAAAAAATTGTGCGCAAGTAATTAACAAAATCCTCTCTCGAGCTCTTATACTCGTTATTTACATTGATTACTAATATTAGAACTACTTCGATGATCGATTATTGGCATTTCAAGCAAGCAGTTGATCAGGCTGCCCGATGGAAACAACTTATTGTATGGCAATAGAACCTAAGGCCCGTTCGTGCGCAAGTCGTTGCTAAGCAACGCCGTGTATTTAAAAGTACTTGTAGAAGAATAACTTAGATTGAAGTGTTTTAACACTTGGTTGTTGTCAACTCAGCTTGGCTATGGATTGTTCGGATAATCAACAATCAATCCACACCGCGTCCAGTAAAAATGTTTAATATAGATATTTTTTATCACCTTTAAAATCTATACTAATATTGTAAAGCTGAAGAGTTTCTTTGTTTGATTACACGCTTATCTAGAAACTACTGGTTCATATTGAAAAGTTCTTGTGGTTCATATCAATAATTTTCCACTTTTCAATAAAAGTGGAAAATTATTGATCTTTGAGGGATTCCGTTGCGTACGCTGTGAAAACGGTTCAAAATATCCAAAACACGTCATGTATCAAAGAATTATTGTTCTTTGATCTAAAAAAAGATCTGCGACAATAAAATCATTGATCATGAAATTACAGAGTGTAACGTTTGAAAACTTTAATATTTTTCACATGTTATTGCACGCGA